AAGACCCTGTCAGTAATGTAGAACCTGTAACGGGTAGAGCTTTCCTTAAAGCAGTGTTCTGATTTAGATCTAAAGTCTGCTACTTTCTAACCCTCATCCCTTCACAGAGCCTGGAGATAAAGATAGAAGAAAGGCAGACAGCCTCAAGATGAGCTCTGTATAAGCTGGGTTTTGCCCCCAAACATGGCCAATATTTTGCCAGCCCAATAAACATACCTTCAGGCTCTCATTGCCTGATCCTCTATATAATCAGTTCATATTGCTAGCAACTCTCTCTCTCTCTCTCTCTCTCTCTCTCTCTCTCTCTCTCTCTCTCTCTCTCTCTCTCTCTGTGTGTGTGTGTGTGTGTGTGTGTGTGTGTGTGTGTGTGTGTGTGTATGTGTGTGTATGTGTACACAGAGTATAAACAGAAATTTCTCACAAGTTTTTCACATCTTACCCAGGGGCTGCCTGGTCTCAAAGGTTCAAAAGGAGAACCCGCTCCTTTTCAAGACAGCATCATAGGAATGAAGGTAAGAGCTCCTAATGCCGGCAGTTGTTGGTGGAAAGTGAGGTTCCCCCGGGGCTGGGCCCCACCTCAAACCAATTCATTTTCAGAGCTAGCACCTGTGTCCCTTCTTTTTTTTTTTTTTTTTAAATTTATTTATTTATTAAGGATTTCTGCCTCGTCCCCACAACCGCTTCCCATTTCCCTCCCCCTCCCCCGATCAATTCCCCCTCCCTCATCTGCTCGAAGAGCAATCAGGGTTCCCTGACCTGTGGGAAGCCCAAGGACTGCCCACCTCTATCCAGGTCTCGTAAGGTGAGCATCCAAACTGCCTAGGCTCCCACAAAGCCAGTACGTGCAGTAGGATCAAAAACCCACTGCAATTGTTCTTGAATTCTCAGTATTCCTCATTGTCCGCTATGTTCAGCTAGTCCGGATTTATCCCATGTTTTTTCAGACCTAGGCCAGCTGACAAACACATAGGCATCCTCAGGAATATTAACCTCATCAGGCGATGAAAGGAGACAGAGACAGAGACCCACACGGGAGCACCGGACAGAAATCTCAAGGTCCAAATCAGGAGCAGAAGGAGACGGAGCACGAGCAAGGAACTCAGGACCACGAGGGGTGCACCCACACACTAAGACAATGGGGATGTTCTATTGGGATCTCACCTGTGTCCCTTCTTAAGGAGCATCCTGGCTGCTTTAAGAGGGCTCCCAAGCTTTCTCGCAGTGGGAATGTTAGCAGAAACATTTGCAACTAAGAGATTTGCCTTCCAGAATCTGCACCAAGAATAAGAGACAGATTGACGAACAGTTGTCAAAGATCATTTTCTTTGACAAGCCAAAACATTTTAATTTTTTACTTTTTTAAAAAATTGATTTTTATTGAGCTCTAAATTTTTTTCTGCTCCCCTCCCTGCCTATTCCCTCCCCCTTCAACCCTCCCCTAAGGTCCCCATGCTTCCAATTTACTCAGGAGATCTTGTCTTTTTCTAGTTCACAACAAACCAAAACCTTTTCTAGAGGCAAACACTTCCTTGTTTCCTCTAAAGTCCCTCATGTCCATGCACCTTGGTTTGGATCCAGATCATTACACAGTTTAGTGTGGCTACCAACCCAGCATCCTGTGACTAGAACCCCAGCATCTTGGCCCACTCTTCTCTAAATCCCCGAATGTCTAGAAAAACTTGCCCGCTCTCTCTGCAATTGATCAGAATTTGATCCCTTGTCAGGAATCTTCTTCTATTGAAGTTTGCTCTCTCTATGCACTAACTGGGGGTTTTGTGATGTATCAATAAACCCTGGTTCCAAATGATTGACTGTATTCCTTCCCAGACTAGGAGAAGAACCCATCACTGCCCAGGTAGCAAATAGGAATTCATGTGCCCACAATTGGAGGGGAGAACACACCTAGGTTACTGAGATAATTGACACCACTCTTCTGTCTTCCATCTAGGTACAGGGCCAGGACCATTGGAATCTGACTGTAAAAGCAATGATGGGAATGAAAGAGCTGGAAAACTAGAGAAGAAGCAGGGAGATTTGGGTTCTTGACCGTGGGTGCCTTAGCAGAAGACAGAACATTAAAGTTGGCAAGGGCCTCGTGGTTCTTGGATTCATGTCGCTCATTTCACAAGTTGAAAATCTAAGGCTATGTGACTTACTCAGAGCCAGATGGCCAGATCTCTGAAGAACTAAACCTCAGGCAGTATTCTTTCCATGCTACAGGGAGTTTAGAGGTTTTTACTATAAGCCAAGTGGGGCAAGACTAACAGGTGTCAAAATACAGCCATTGTCTTAGTAAACATTGATTAAATGGTTTTGGCAGAAATCAAAGAAACCTTGGATCCAGTGGAACACAGCAATTTTCACAAGATGGTTATATTACAGATTCATACAGTGGCTTAAGATGCTGCAAAGTAATTAAAACGTAATCAGAGTCTGTATGCTCTGTTGATTTTCCCTTGAAATGTCTGATTTGCATTGTATACATATAGGCACAGATTCTCTGGGGATGGAGGCACATGGGAAGGTAGCTTTGCTTTCCTCCAAAAAGAGCAGAAAATCACCAGCCTGCAGAAGTCGTTTCTAATTGATAAGTTCCTAGCAAATGTGAAAATTAATTAATGTAGGTAAAATAGGAAATCTTGTTCAGCCAAGGCTGTAATATTTGTTTTCTAGAGTCCAGAATGTTCACAGGAAAACAACAAATGGTTAGATGCAACCAAGTCATGCATTTTAAAAGAGCAGACCTTGACAGGGGCCCAAGTTGCAGCAATGTGTTTCTATGCCCATGAATCTGAGGTTGGTTGTCTGCAACCCAGTGGACTTGATTGATTAATCTCTTCTGTTTGTTCTTTGTTTCTCAGGGGGATCCTGGGCTGCCTGGACTGGATGGAATTGCTGTAAGTCATGCTCCTTGTGTTAACACCCGCCCCCCGCGGGTGTCAACTCCCAAATGGTTTCCTTTCCCTCTTCTTGGTGGTATCCAAAGGTCTCCAGAAATTTACTCAAGGAAAATCCAGAGTGTTGAGAGAGGACAAGTCATACTGCCTGCATTTTCCAGATAGAAAATCCTGAGAAGATGAACTGGCCATCTCAATTTTAAGACAGGCAGTCTTCAGACTTTAGATCAGGGATTCGATGCACCCCTTCCTTATTGGCAGGGGATATGTTCTCCAAGGCCCCTAGCGGATGCCTGAAACCATTGATAATTCTAAGCCCTATATAGACCATACTTTTCCTATGTACATAGGCCAATGATAGAGTTAAATTATAAGTTAAGCACAGTAAGATATTAGCAACAATTGCTAATAAACAATAGCACACTATAGTAAGATAAGTAATAAAAGTTGTTAGTATGATCCCCCACCAGCAACAACCTGAATTCCTTCTCAAAGGAACTTAGTGTACTGCATGTAGCATTTCTCTTCTTGTGAAGATATGAAACAGCATGATGCCTATGTGATGAAGTGAGGTGAACAATGCAGGCTATGAGACATAGCATGGGGTGACTATTGAAAGGTGACTTGAATATAAGCACTTTCCCACTTTTCCTGTTTACTGGGATTGATGGGGTAACCAGAAAGGAAAACAATGGATAAGGAAGCCCACTCTATTCTCTTGATATCTTAGGAAGGCACCGGGCCTTGCATTCTGCCACCATCTACTAAGTGTTCTTCTGTGTGTTCAGTGTTTTATATACACTTCTTTTAAAGATATCGCATATAGAAATTCATTTTAGGACATTGATGAAAAGTCCACAAGTTGCACTCCTAAGAAATTTCTGTTTCCTTGAGATTCCACATTGCTGCTGCTTCCTTTTGAGGAAGCCTAAGAACCATCCCTGGTTTCTTGTATGTGTTCTCTCTTTTCTTCTTTTGTCTTGTTAGTCTTCAGTACATATGGGGTACCCACTAGGAGCCAGGTGCTCAGAGTGTTCCCGCAGGCAATTTAGACACTGTCCCTCCCACAAAGGATGTGAAAATGTAAGGGTAGGAATATGTCAGAAGAATTCCAGAAGGCCTTAAGGAAGAACTATGTATCAAAATTCTGGTAGGAGATACATATCTATGAAAGATAATGTAGTTTCTGAGAAGAATTGATGAAGTTTAGACTTGCTAGCAGTGGATATTTATAAAAAAAATATGAAGTATGTAAGCCCACACCGAAAAAAAACAAAGATAACTAAGGATCAAGGTACAGAGGGACTCCAGAGCTCAATAAAATTGCCTTTAAAGGTGCGTTCATTAAATTCATTTAATAATAACCACTCTGCTTGCTTCACAGTTTCTCTTAGGGATTCAGCCCCCTCCCCACAGACATACAGTGTTTACCTGTCAATACAGACATTGATGCCAAAAAAGAACTTAGCTTTGAAAACAGGATGTTTGGTAGTGAAACAGCAGGTTGGTGATCAATAAGGTTGTTCCTGGTTGTCAATCCAGAATTCCACAGAACATGAGCATTACCCTGTCCCTGTCCCACCCTAAAGATGGACACCATTGTAATTATTCTGTGTAGCTGAGTAGATCGTGGCATCTTCATTTCTAGATAATCTTCTAATTCCTCTTTCCCTTCCGGTTGTCCATACCTTGACCTCCCTTAGGCTGTCCATCCTTTTCTTGGGCATGTCCCACCTGCATCCTGCTACCACTCTGAAACGGAGCCTTGCATTTCCCCGCATCACCTTTCTCCTCATTTCTCTCTGGCTTTCAGTGGGGATACTCATTTCTACACATTTTCTAATTTTCCACGTGACTTTAGTCTCCATTTGACTCATGAAATATTTAGAAGTGTTTTTTCATTACCAAGTATTTGGTTATTTTCCAGATACCTTTCTCTTATCTTGTGTTTAATCCTGGGAAATTTGCTGAAGTTGGGTTTATGACCAAAACTTGCAGGCAACATATATCCAGCAGTTGGTGACTATAATGATTTAAGCAATATTTACTATGTCTATGTAGTTGATGGCGTTTTGATAGTTGGTAACCTGACCGTTTTTGTAAGTTCTATAAATTACTGAGGGAAATACTGAAAATTTTAGTGATAACATGTTTTTTGCATGGCTTGTTTTGCCTGTACTTTTATCAGGTTTTACTTTGTGTACATTGAAACTCTCTTGTTATATATAGATATAAATAATACTATGATGTTTTCTGGAATTGACCCATTTTTTCATTATGAAATGCCCCATCTTTATATCTAGTTAATAGTCTTAACCTTGAAGTCTGTTTTATCTGATACTATATAACATTCTTTTTCCTTTTAAAAAACTTTAATAGTAACAATTCAAATACAGAGCTCAGTATAATTAATTTTACAATAGTTCTTGTTGTGATTATTCTTCAGCATAGATCAGTTTTTACTAATCCTAGAGGGTCATATATAGGGAATAATATCATATGTAGACATTTGGGTCTAACTCCCATCACCACAGTGCTTTTGAGAGTCATCCATAGTGTTCCATATAAAAATAAATTTGCTGCTTTTCTCTCTTGTATGTCATACTTCATTTATCAATCCCTGTATCAGTGACTACTTGGAACAGTTCCAGCATTTTCTATTATGAATAAAAATGCTGTAGCAACTCTCATACAGTTCTTGTGGACATATATGTTGTTTTGTTTTGTGAAAAGCTACCGTGCCTTTTGACCTTGATAAAAAACTTCTGTCTCCAGGGTCCATCAGGATACCTTGGATCTCCTGGAGATGCAGGACCCATAGGACCACCAGGCTTACAAGTAAGACCAACTTAAGACTAGTGTGTAGTGTGTATTTGCAGTATTCCCTTTCTTCACCAGGCCATGGACTAAATACAGACCTATGTAATATAGGCTCTCTTACAGAAGGGCAAAAGCAATTTCTGGGAGATTATGCTGAAACATGTTCATTCTCTTTATTCCTCTCTCCCTTTTCTCTCTTTTAGACACAGGCCCTCACTATATAACCCTGGCTATCCTGTAACTCACTTTGTAGACCAGGCTGGCTTTGAAATCATAGATATCCACCTGCTTCTGCCTCCCGAGTGCTGGGATTAAAGACATATCACACTCCAGTCTTGAAACATACTCTTGCTAAGAGTTATTTGTTGGCCTTGCTGACCAGGTTTTTGTTTTGCTTTCCCTGGCCATCCATGATGTGCCCACAAAGCTTGCTAGTATAACTCAACCTGAGGTATAGCCAAGAGAAGACAGATACTTGACACATCTGCTTGTGCTGTTTGCTCCCTAATTATGCCATGCATTGTTAATTAATCAAACCAACCTCTATCATCGCCATTCTAAGAATACTTCAAAATCTTGTCAGCCTTGCACCTTGGACAGCTGTACCTACCTGTTTTTTGACACTGAAACTAAGTATCACTGATAAAGGAAGACTATAGCTAGGCATCTTTGCTTCCAGGAAGGCCTTATCCCCAGGTCATTCTCAACAATGCCTAAATCCTACTACTTACTACTATGACTGAACTTAACCAAGTCACACTGAAACATTCCTAGCATGGTATGAGGAATAACATGCTATTTTTACTGCCTTCACATGAATGGGACTAGCAGGTCAGTTTGGGAGATTTCAAAGAAGAATAAAAGAAACAATGATGGGTACTGGAGCGATGTACCAATGATCAAGAGCACATACCACTCTGGCAGAGGACCCAAGTTTGGTTCCTAGCATGAACACTGGTTAACTCAGAACAACCAGGAGCTTCATGAGATGCAATCACCATCTTCTAGCCTCAGCAGGCAGGCACTGCCCTTGTGTGCACAAACCCACACTCAGGCACACACGTATACACAGAATTAAAAATAAAAATCTTTTCAAAAGAAATCATGAGAAATGGAGCTAGAAGACCACTATTGCAAAGCTAATTTGCATTAAGCTGGGAGCCAGCATATCCCTGCTATTGCCCAGCATGGCTATGGTTTGGTTTGGTTTTGTTGGGGGTTTGTGTCTGTAATGAAGAAATGCTCACTCTTTTATTACTTGTTAATCTAGGGTCCCCCAGGCCCTGCTGGACTTCCTGGTCCAGACGTAAGTATGCTTTGGGAGTATTTATGTCCAGCCTGCCACTAAGTTCTCTAATTTTTTTCCCACAAAGATAGTGGCTGAAATCTGTTTTTTAGTTAAAAAATAAAAATAACACATTCCAATTTTAGTTGATGAAGCTTATTAGTAATTGATTTTCTTTTTTCTTTCCTGCACCCCTGTGCCCCAGGGAAACATGGGGTTAGGTTTCCAAGGAGAAAAAGGAGTCAAGGTAAATAGATTCTCTAAATACAGTCTACATCCCACGCGCTCCAAGAAATGTCTCTAGGTTACATATGTATGCATGCTTGTATAAATGGGTTTGTTTTCCACCTTAGAAAATGTCCACTTCCCATCTCATACAATTTCCATACGGAATACATTGAGAGCTACATGCCACACACATGGGCTTTTGGAGTCTTCTCTTTCAAAAAAAATTCACCCTGATTCCTATGTATAAGTCTATACTGTCTACAAATATACCCTCTTAAGATGTATTCTTTCCTTTCCTTCCACCTAGGTATTTATCTGCATTTTGCATATTCTATTGCCTGCATGCATGAATGCACACATGCACACAAACACTCATACACATATTTCCTAGCTCTTCTGAGCCACTTAATGTCTCCTTCACTAGTCCCTTTTCTTTCCTGCCTGCCCACCTTTGAACCAATCAGACATGTCCAACATTTTGACATTGTGACACAATTTTCATAAGTGAAAAATCACAGAAAATGATCTTATAATGTTTTTTTTTAAAAGTTGACGATTTTGTGTTGGGCCACACCCATAGCTACCTTGGGCTGCATGAGGCCATATGCAGCCTATGGGCTACAGGTTGCACAAAGCCAATAATAGAGTCTTATCACTGTGGGCAAGAGGTAGCCATTCCCCTTGCCCAAATCCCTTGTGGCTGTCTTCTCACTGCCCTTTTGTATATGAGCATGCAACTGGGAATCTGGTTTTCTCTCACTCGTTTGCTTTTTCCTTCTGCAGTGACAGCACAAAACTCACTCTTGGGCTTAGAATTTTTATCCCTTATAAGTGAAATTTTGGTTTGCTCCTTGGCAAGGGTAAAAAGAAAAAAATAATGGACAATATTTTTTGTGGATTACAACCAGAAAACTAGCTTACCTTTTGCAAAAAATGGTCTGTATAACTATCCTTTGTTCAATATCTCTTTGATTTTACAGGGGGATGTCGGCCTCCCTGGCCCTGCAGGACCACCTCCATCTACTGGGGAACTAGAATTCATGGGTTTCCCCAAAGGGAAGAAAGGCTCCAAGGTAGCAAACCTTTATTATAGAAAAAATTACCTGACCCTTTCTTGTTAATACTAGAATTCAAGTCTAATGATCAGACTAACCTGAGCCAATTCCAAAGTAGGAGTAATGGGTTTTGGTAGGAAAGGCAAAGCCTTCTTTGTTTTGTCCTGAGTTGGTTTTCTGGTGTGCAGTTGTGAGTATACCTGTATCTGAGTATTCATATAAGCAATTTTTGCCTCAGACTTGCACATTTAATTTTTTTATTGATTTTTATTGAACTCTACGTTTTTCTCTGCTCCCTTCCCTGCCTCTCCCCTCCCCCCTTCAGCCTTCCCCCAAGGTCCCCATGCTCCCAATTTACTCAGGAGATCTTGTCTTTTTCTACTTCCCATGTATATTAGATCTATGTAAGTCTCTCTTAGTATCCTCATTGTTGTCTAAGTTCTCTGGGATTGTGGATTGTAGGCTGGTTTTCTTTGCTTTATGTTTAAAAACCACTTATGAGTGAGTACATGTGATAATTGCACATCTAATTTTAATATGCCAAATAATTTTTTTTAAAAAATGCATACTTGAATTATTTCCCTATGAACTCCAAAGCTCTCAGTATTTAAGTTGTCCACCAAACACAGTGAGTATAAATGTTTCCTTTGTGAATTATCATTTTGAAGAAGTCATTTGCCCATCAAGCTTTATTCAGTAGTAGAGAGCTTACTTAAAGGTCCTGAGTGGTCTCGCAGCACGGGGCGGGGGGGGGGGATAGTTGACCTTAAATATAGGAAATATTGCTAACAAGTAGCAGTGCATGATCTAATTTGCCTTACGTGAACCACCAGGCTGAAGGCTACATTTCATAATCTGCCCGTTTCCAGCAGGATACGCTGTGTGCATGGTGGTGCTTCAACAGTTTCATTCTATTCAGCTGCGCTGATAGCTTGCGGGAGCCTGCATTCCCTTCCTTCCCGAGGTTCCTTTGAATTTTGCGATTCGGTTTCCATGAAGAAGGAGGCCAGATGGAAACATTCAGAGTTTCCTCCCTTAATATTGCCTTCGTGGACAACTCCATTCCCTCTAGCTCAGTAGTTCTCAAGCTTCCTAATGCTGTGACCCTTTAATACAGTTCAGGTTGTGGTGACCCCCAGCCAGAAAATTATTTCATTGCTACTGCATGGCTGTTTTTTTTTGTTGTTGTTGTTTTTGTTTTGTTTTGTTTTTTGGTTTTCAAGACAGGGTTTCTCTGTAGCTCTTGGTTTCTGTCCTGAAACTACCTCTTGTAGACCAGGCTGGCCTCGAACTCCCAGAGATCCGCCTTCCTCTGCCTCCCAAGTGCTGGGATTAAAGGCGTGTGCCACCACCACATGGCTGTAATTTTGCTACTGTTGTGAATCGTGATGAATCTGATGCACAACCCCTGTGAAAGTGTTGTCTATGACCCACAGGTTGAGAACCACTGCTCTAGCTTTGTCTAGAGGAAATTCTTGATTTGGGAGCAATCTAAGAGTATGTAGAAGATTATCTGCACCTCCAATCCCTCCTAAATCACGAGGAGCTTTTCCATGGCCTTTGTAAGATAAATTTGCACTACAGGAAGAGAAACAGTAGAAATGTTATGTGTCTCTTTCCAAACTTTGATTGATAACATTCTCTTCTTCATATGTTCTAAGTGGCTTCTTCCACAAGAAATGAAACAGCTATCTATTCTCCTGTCCCAATTCACCTGAGTATTTGAGATTATGTATTAGTCATTTACCATCCATAGGCCAAGGGGCTTCCTAAGCTAAGACATCACGGCAAGCATACGGATGTATGCCACTATTTGGTGCCGTAATACTCATACTTATTGGTTCGCTACTGGGTAGCCCAAGTACTTCAAAGAAGCCTCTAGCATTCGTGTTCATTGTTTCCTGCTGCTACTCATTAGCCTTTGGTTAACTTTCCAGGGTGAACCAGGGCCTCAGGGGTTCCCAGGCATGAGTGGCCCTCCAGGGTTCCTGGTAAGTCTTCTCACTTGGTAAACATATATTCCTGGGTCGTATTGGATAAAATGCACTGTGTGATTAACAGGAAGACCTCCACCCATGCTTCTTACTGTGAATGCTGTCATCTTTACTGAGGGCCTTGAAGGAAATAGTCTTGTTTCTTGATTCATGCAACTTTGAATATGACTCTCCATGCTCAAATTTCAGAGTTCAAACAGACCTAGGCTTGCCTTCTGGGCCAAGAATTTCCTATTTCTGACTTTTGTTCTCCTGGCCCACAAAAGAGGGCAGTAATAGAGTATATCTGAATATGAAATGAGATAAGACACATGAGAGAACGCTTTGTACATAGCTGGAGCTTAGCAAGTGGTCAGCAAACAATATCTGTTCTGAGTAACCCTATCTTTCCTATCTGCCTTTCTGGCTTAGATTCTTACGCTCAGCAAACGCTTTTGGAAGGCTTCTGTGTGTCAGGTTTTCTACTGACCTCAGAGGCTATAAGAGAACCTAAATAAGAGTTCCTCTCTGTCCTCGAGGTTGCATTCTAATGGAAACGTGATAAAGAATGTAGAAAGCATGAATCAATAGCAAATTCAAGGGCTGTGATGTGGCTCAATGGTCACTGTTGGCTTAGCATGCCCAAAGCCCTGGCTTCTATTCCTAGCAGCACAAAGAGAACTGAGCTAACAAGCAAAAGTCTATACAATGGTGACATATAAAAGATGGAAAATGAATGCAGTGGTGGAGTATAGGAGGGGGAACCACTCGGGAGAGAATGGTCAGCAAAAGCCTCTCTGAGGAAGTTCTGTGTAAGCTGGGGCCTGGATAATGTGAGAAAGAGTGCCTGGAGACTGAGGGAACCATAAGTTCCAACTCCCTGAGGTTGAGAAAGCTCAGCACGTGAGAGGTGCAGCAGGTGAGTGGCCAAGGTCTGCAGAGTAGCATATAACCCTAGTCCTACCAACTAGGAGGCTGAGGTGGAAGGATCGTTGTGAGTTCTCAACTAGAATGGGCTACACAGCAAGACCCTATCTCAAAAATCAAAATAAAGCAGTCGAACAGAAAGGAAAGGACAAACTAAGAGACATAGGAGTCAGGTCAGAGCCAGCTTCAGAAGTCAATTGTGGCTTTTATTTGAAGTGTCATGAGCAGCTATTTGTGAGTGTGTGTGCACGCGTGTGTGTGTGCATGCGTGTACGTGAGCATGTGCATGGTGTGTACTTATGTTTGTGTATGTGTGAGTGGACCTTTGTATGTAAGTGCATATTCATGCGTATACACATGTGTGTGGAAGCCCAGAGATGACATTGGATGTTGTTCTAGATTGCTCTTCACAATATTTACTTAGACGGAGTCTCCGGCAGAATCCAGGCCTGTGCCCGGGATCCTGCCCTCTGTCTTCGGAGTGCTGGGATAACAGGGTGTCACCATGCCTTCCCATCTCTTAAGTGAGTTCTGGAAACTTGCACTCTGCTGCTTGCAGCAACATTGCAAGAATTTCGTCCCATCTCCCCATCCCTGACTTGTATTATTGAAATCATACTGACTGGGTGAGGGCCAGATGGGAGGATCTGGAGCAGTAAGCACAAGTTATTATAGCAGCCCAGGTAAAAGATGGTGGTAATCACTCAGGTCATGGTGATAGCAATGGAAATGGAGAGAAGTAGAAAATATGAACATGCTGTATTTTTTATTATGGAACATTTCAAACGCATACAAATAGAAAGACAATGGCATAATGGTCTTCCTGGGTACTCATTACCTTGCTTCCACAATTAGCAGCCCATGGTCCATCGGAAGCATATAGTCAACATATTTCATCCTAAATGCTTCAGTAATTCTCAAAATAGGGATTCTGGGAACTTGCTAACCAGTTATTATTTAATGTCAGTTAAGAAGGCAGAAATCTATGATCATAAATACATACAGTTTTCTGGTGCCTGGAAAACTGTAATGACGAAATCTGGAATGAGGGCCCTGCGCTACAGTTGGTTGTTTTCTTCCACGACAAAATGTGGTTTGAAGAAGCTGACAGAATTTTCACGAATTGCTGTTAGAGACTGGGAGAAAGTGGCTAAATCCAGGACAGCAAGACTTGCCCCCACTTGCTGGCACAGTGGGGATAACTGTGGACTCCAGTCTTCCCCGGTAGTACTTTGAAATACTCTGTCTCACCGCGCAGCCAGGAAGCGCAGCCTGGGGAGCCAATGGCACAGATTGCTTCCTCGGGATTCCTGTTACCCCACAAAAACAAAGGGGCATAGAGAATCATTTGTTCTACTCCCTTGATTTTAATCAGCGTTGCAGCTAGTGAATAGGAAAGGAGGTGAGCCAGGGTGTTGGAGGGAAAGCACCCTCTCCTTAGACTCAACTCTAGCTCTGGGGCTTGGACAAACAGCTGACTTGCTTTCTGTCAATGTGCAATGTGACAGCAGCTATTGCTAGTCTTCCTTCTGAGGCCCAAATTGCACTGTATTGAAGATTCTTTACAAAGCTTTCCTATGTGACGTCATAATCTGTAGCTCCATATGGCTACGGAGCTCTTGAAATGAGACGAGCTGTACTGTAAGCAAATACACACTGATCTCAAAACACCAGTATGGAAAGAGTGATTTTAAACAGCTCTTGTTTCTGAAGGATTTGGATAACTCTTAAAATCTCTTTCTCATTTAAAAAAAAAAAAACAGCTACTAAGAAACTGCCGGTATCATACTGGCTCACGTTATATTTCTATCAGATGGCGTTTTGCTAGGAGGTTTAGGAAGAAGCATGGCACCTTTCTTTGTAAAGCATCTTGTTCAGACTTGTCACCTGGCATCATCCTTGTGAAGTGAGCGAGTGAATCCAGGTTTGTCCCTCTTGCCCAGAGTCACTTGAGAGCTGAGACTGCCCTTCATTGTTTCTGTTTTCTTGTTTTTTTCCTCAGAATGTGTTGTTTAATCACTTTTTCACCAATTATTTTTTCTTTTATTGAAAATAGTTTTTTTCTCACATAATGTATCCTGATTACAGTTTCCCATCCCTCCACTCCTCCCAGTTTCACCCCCTCCGTATACAGTCCCTTTCTGTCTCACATTAGAAACCAAATAGGCTTAGAAGGGGTTGCAATATACTCTAATAAGATAAAACAAAAACTAACACTTTGGAAATGGACAAAACAAACAAACAGAAGGAAAAGAGCCCAGGAAAAATCACAGGAAACAGAGACCTACTCATTCGCACACTCAAGAATCCCATGAAAACACTAAACTGGAAGCCACGATCTATACTCAGGAGAGCTGTTCCAGACCGGTGCAGACCCTGTTCGCCTTTCAATACTGTTTAAAGCTAGCTGCTTCAGAATTTATTTCCTCATACCACACTGCCCCCTGCAGTCCAGTTTACGAAAGTCACCCAGTGGAAGTATTTTGGCCCTAAAATCGCCAAGATTTTGTGATTCCACTCTGCTGCTCTGGGATTTAGGATTCCCTGGCTCATGCTGCCTCCTTCCCCCTCTTTTCACGTAGATTTCTCCGCCGTGATATCGTCTCAATCCCTTCCCTCCTGTAAGAGAGACCGACTGAAGACAACATGTGGTGATAAAATTACAGTACTGTTCCCAGCTAGTGTTCTCAATGTTTCACAGTTATGGTTGTAAAAACAGAAACCTGGCTGGAAAAAAAAAGTATCAAAGTTGGGGAACGTCTCCTTGTACACAGCACACTGGATTGCATAGAATGGGAACCAGGGAAGCAGTTTTAAGCTCACTCCTTCATGGATTCAGTGGGGGACAGAAGTCAAATAATGTAACACCTTCACCCCTACCTTATCTGCCTGCTTTATGGGAACATTCATTAATACCCTGATATGCCTGAGAGCAAAGTTAGGAGAGGAAAGGGGATGGCTATAGGAGGTGTCATGAGCTTTCTAGAGGTGCATTTCTCGAAACTAAAGCCTCCATCAGACCAGCTTTCGATTACCCGAAAAACAAGACCTTAAAGAGTAATCTCTAGAGATCCCAAGTTGTTCCTCCTCCTTCCCATTTTAGCCCCAATCTTTGCAGGAGATAAAATGCACAATCTGATGGATGTGTGCCCCACGTTCTTTCTCTTGCACCTTTTGTAGTTTAAAAATAAATAAATAAACTAATTAGCTAATTAAATGTAAAAAGCCCTGATTTTCTGGCTTGGTCCCAGCTTTAATCATTTTTACCTCTCTCGTTCCCAGCAGCAGGCTCACAATTATAGGCCACAGGTCCCTCCATGAAGGCTGTCAGAACTGCACACACATGTCCACGGGATATGGACACATAGGAGAAAGTAGAACGGCAGTGGTTCAGGGCGAGAGCAGAGATGAACCTGGAAAATCCTGATCGTGACTGTTCAGTAGATCTGAGGGAACTCCTGGGTAGGTGAAGCTCTCTGACTGAATCTCCTCAGAAACGAAACGCAGCAGGAGCCTCGAGGTCTGGAGAATAAGGCTCTAAAGAGCTAAGCTAGTACTCTAAGAAGGCTTCCGGGCCGTGCCTGAGTAGAAGGGTGGGGGTAGCCATGACAGGACTGCTCACCAAAGCCAACAGTAATGGATCAGGTCCCGGGATATCTAGCTAGAACAGCTTGTTCAGCAGGGTCTCTGAACAGTGCTTCCCTGTGCACAGTGGCTTGCCAAGCCATTTATCTTTTATTGGCTCTAACACAGAGAGAGCTTTCCTTTTTACATTTTCACATGTTTATTTTTGTATACATACTTTTTGCAAACTCTGGACCTCAAAATGGTGAGCAAATATAGGTTCTCTCACTTTCTGAAGAAATAAAAGACTTTCTTGTATTTATCCTCCTGGGAAAGATGGACCAGGGCATAGTTACAGTTCCTGGGCATTATGTTTGTCTGCTGTCTTTTGCCGTAGTTGTATTCTTTGCGTCACTATTGCCTTAATTCAGCAAGTATTTTCTGGATCACTTTGCATATGTGCCCTTGGTAATAGCATGCTTCAGAGACAGACGGGAATGGCTGTAAGAGAAGTCTCCCACTTGGAAAATTTTCTTTTATAGAAGACTTGGGGTTAAAGAGTTTGGGGCTGCCATAACACTTTGGGACAGGTCAGGGAAGGTTACTGGAACTACTCAACTTCTCAGGCCACTAGACACATTCTGCCAGTAGGCAGCATACTTTTGTTTCCAATTTGAAATATGGGGTAGAGGAAGTTAAGATTTCAAACAGGTTTACACTACATTTGATTTTTTTAAATATGCCTTTATTTAATCTTTGAGGATCTCAGAGAATATATTTTGATCATATTAATCCCCTTGGCCCCAACTCCTCCCAGATTCTTCCCCACCTCCCTATACACCCAACTTCATGTACTCTTTAAAAATGGATGAGTCCAGAGAGTGTTGGCTGACCACAGTCCATTTAAATTATACACCATATTCAGCATGAGGGCTGAAGTATATCTATGAAAGCAGAGAAGAAAACAGAGAAGTAGGAGCCAAAGCCCTGTTTCAATTGCACCTCTCAAAGACACCTTCCCCACAATGAAAAAGCAATGGAAAATCCCACATTTGTTTTCTTTAAACTCCTGAGTCTAGGAAGGGATATTCATTCAGGTTGCAGTACTTGTAATAATACACAGATTCTTTAAGAGAAAGAAAAGGATACAGATGGGATCAAGACAGCATCCTCAGACCAGCTGAGTGAGCGCCTATCAGGGGAACAATGGAAGATACGCCGCAGCATCAGTTAGCATCTTTTGACAAGCTTATATCTGAGAAACCTTCATTCCTCCTTTACTCTTACAACAGGAATAAATACTATTTGCTAACAAACAAAAGAAAAGCCCTATGCTCCAATATGTACAATTTTAAACAGTTACAAATGGCTTCAGCTAAGTTTCTCATGAAAGATTTTATTCACTTTGGTAATGAACATTTCTATAACTTGGAGGTCTGGATGTTGGCCCTGGATCCAGGCTTGAAAAGGCTCTCTCTCCATCTGCTCTTAGATTTCCTGCTTGTCTCTACAGAGCCCAAAAATCAAACCCATGGCTCTAAGTCCTCACTTCTTATAGCAAGGCGAAAGGAACTGATTAATAATCCCCTTTGGTTTATTCCTAGGATGTGATGAGAAACTTAATAGTACGAGTGGGAGACTGTAGGTAGAAATATTCCTTTCCCATGGAAAAGGATGTCGTGGTCCTCTTGTGTATCTGAAGGGGAAAATGTCTTCCTTCTAGTATGAATTCCCAAACATCTACACACCCTTCTATTGTTCTGCCAAGTTCCTCCGTGGCAGAATGCAGCTAGCTGGCTCTCGTAGAAAGAGCTCTGGGATCACAAAAGACTCAACTTACTCACTGATTCTTACCCTTCCTGGATGCTTCTCATCTGTAAAAATCAGTATGGGACAATGAGGACTACTGAGAACTCAAGAACAATAGCAATGGGTTTTTGATCCTACTGCACGTACTGGCTTTGGGGGAGCCTAGGCAGTTTGGATGCTCACCTTACTAGACCTGGATGGAGGTGGGTGGTCCTTGGACTTCCCACAGGTCAGGGAACCCTGACTGCCCTTCGAGCTGATGAGGGAGGGGGACTTGATCGGGGGAGAGGGAGGGAAATGGGAGGCGGTGGCGGGGAGGAGGCAGAAATCTTTAATAAATAAATAAATTAAAAATAAATAAATAAATAATGAAACATGACATTTGCCGGAAAAAAAAAATCAGTATGGGAGTATCGGCACTTTATTGTTCCTGTGCTACTTGCTAATGATGCCACCAGTACATGTGAGAGTGTTTGATGGAAAGGCATTACTTCTAGAACCACAAAGCTGAATGAATGGCCCAACACATAGTCATTCTCTATGTGCTTTTCGGCAAGATGCTCAATATAAGGAGATTACCTAAGGACTCAGTAGATCTGGTTTGAAATGACTTCTTCCCCTTGAATGGAGCCATGCAACAAATGAGAAAACAAACAATTAACTGACTGAGATAGAGACTTGCTAAATATTAGCCTTGGTTGACCTGGAACTCGCTACATAGCCCAGGCTGGCCTCGAATTCATGGCATTCTTCCTGTCTTAGGCTCTGAAAAGCTGAAACTATAGATATCTGCCATCCCACCATCCCAGTGAGAAAATGAGTGTTATAATTTCTGGCTTCTGTTTTTTTTCTTCAGGAGTCTGGATCTGTTGGAGAGAAAGGAGAAAAGGGAATCCTTGGTTTGCCAGGACCTAGGGTATGAACTTGGAGTCTCATTTGCCTGTGTTTATCAAGTCATCTGACCCATTTTCTTTCCTTTAATGAAATGTAGCTTTCTTTTTTCTTCATTTTTATTTTGGTCCCTTGATTGTATAATTTGATGGGCTAAGCTTCTCTTACTTCTCTTCTCAACTTTCTGGCAGGCTCACCTCTCCACTTACCCCATTCTCTTGACTGTCTGGCTCCCTTGAATAAGGAATGATGTAACTGCTACTCCTAGGTGGATCCCCAATCTGCTTGGGCTTTTAACTTTCGTATATAGTTTTCTCCTGAGCTGCAGGATGGTGCACATGCTTTCTTGCCTTTATTCTTTTATACTCCAAGAGAGTGTGAGCAAGAAGGATAACAGGAATGGAAGAGAGCCAGGTGTAATCTTCACAGGACATAAACAAGTCTGGAAACTTCTAGAACATAGTGAATAACGTTTGGAGTTAGCAACTTTCCAAAATAATCTTACTTTGAATGGAGAAATGATTATCATTCCTTCTGATTCCTAGCTTTCAGAAACTGAGACCTTGGGTTAGAAGAAGTTGGTCAACTTTTACCTTACATAAGCACATTTGAGAGAATTGTGTTTTTAGTTTGTCCATGAGGATGTTAAGTCTCTGAGTATTTAGCAATATTTAATTATTGTTATGCCATTTCTTTTTCTCCTTTCCCTTATCCTTTGTCCTCAAAACTCATAATCACCAACAAAGAATATGTTTAGGGTAGCAGACAAGAAACAAAAAACAAGAAACCGTCTAATAAAAACATCTGACTTGAAACCAATGTAGCTAAGTATGCCATCCAACCCTCCTACGAAATTCCTACTGCTACTTAAAATACTTCTATTTATTTAGCTCTTTAAAAATCTTTCATGAAGCTATTCATCCTGATGGATTAATGCCTAGAAAGAAATTAAGCCAAGGCTAGGAAGGTTTTCTTTTTTCTTTTTGTTTATTTAAATTTATTTATTTATTAAGGATTTCTGCCTCGTCCCCACAACCGCTTCCCATTTCCCTCCCCCTCCCCCGATCAAGTCCCCCTCCCTCATCTGCTCGAAGAGCAATCAGGGTTCCCTGACCTGTGGGAAGCCCAAGGACTGCCCACCTCTATCCAGGTCTCGTAAGGTGAGCATCCAAACTGCCTAGGCTCCCACAAAGCCAGTACGTGCAGTAGGATCAAAAACCCACTGCAATTGTTCTTGAATTCTCAGTATTCCTCATTGTCCGCTATGTTCAGCTAGTCCGGATTTATCCCATGCTTTTTCAGACCTAGGCCAGCTGGCCTTGGTGAGATCCCAATAGAACATCCCCATTGTCTTAGTGTGTGGGTGCACCCCTCGTGGTCCTGAATTCATGTTCCTAGAGAAGCTAAATAAGAAGGTGAATCCAAAGACAAACACATAGGCATCCTCATGAATATTAACCTTCATCAGGCGATGAAAGGAGACAGAGACAGAGACCCACATGGGAGCACCGGACAGAAATCTCAAGGTCCAAATCAGGAGCAGAAGGAGACGGAGCACGAGCAAGGAACTCAGGAACTTAGGAAGGTTTCCTTACCTGGCTTTAGCAGCTCCTAAATCTTGAACTCGGGTGGATAAGTTTGTTATATGAGTTTAGCAGCATTTTTTTTTCAAGTGTGATCTATTCACTTTCCAAGGTGTGGTTCTTCACTTCACAGGGTCCCATGGGTTCCGAAGGAGAACAAGGACATCCGGGGAGACAGGTATTTTGATTAATATCCATAAAGCATTGGTATACAAAATCTTAATCAAAAGATCACCGTGCTTTACTTAACATAGCCAAGTGGAGACATTGCTTATAATGCAAATATAATGCAAATTGTCTATGTTCTAATTATGTAATTTTATAATCCTAGTCTCTCCCCTGCCCCGCTTCTCTCTGTTCTCACCCAAGAGGATGGATAACCACTGTTACACTACATTTTGTGTTTTGACATGCCAAGGTGCGGTAATATATAATGGCATGTTATCAAGGGTCAACAAGGCTAGCCTGCTTGTATCCACACCTCTGTGACTCTTATGCACTTTAATATGCAGGTTAACTACCTAATGCCATATTATCATCTGTAAGAATTGGCAAAGCTGTCCACACTCTGAATGACAGCAAGATCCCTGTACTATTTGCCTTGGCATAATTGACAAAGCAACTCACCTTATATATTTGAACTTAGTGATAACTAAGTTTCTATCACAGGGAAAGAAGGGGACTTCTGGTTTTCCAGGGATTAACGGGTTCCCAGGAATTAAGGTAATATCATTGGGATTTAAGAAGTGAAAAGGTGAAGAATTCCTATAAATGCCTACTTAGGATACGAAGTGTTTTTAACATTTTGATGCTTTAGATGTCACAGTTTTCTTAAATGCATGTGCCCCATGCTATACACAAAGCTGATGAACATTCATCAGATGTTACCAACACTTAGTGTTTAAAATTCTCTGCTGACAGTGCATCCTGCCTACCCTAGTACCCACTCTGGGTATTCCCCTGAATCAGATTCTAGTCACTGAGTCTATCTTTGCAGAGAATTAGGACTCTTTAGACTTCCTTTGCCATCATTCAAACAATAAAGGTGGTAGGCGTTAGAATCTCAAACCTGCTGAGAACAGAAGGAAACAGTTGAAACCTGGTGCCTCCTTAGCTGTGCTTATGCTCCACTTCTTGGGCCCAGAAATAGGATGCCTCATAGTGGTGTTGCAAAACAAAATTGAGATCCCTCGTCCTTGACAAATGTGCAGATCACATTTGTAGATCCAGCTACCTTGTGTCATCTTCATCTTTGGTTCCTTGTTCTTGGAAATTAACCTCTGAACTAGATGATCCTGGAAGGCAGGGGTCAAGGGGGGACTTGCTACTTTTCTGGGGTTTTGCTTTGAAGGCACATAGATCTTGGGTGATGTAATCAAGGAAAATTTTGTGTTCGATCTATTTCATCTTTACAGGGTGAAAAGGGTGGCGTTGGTCTGCGAGGCCCAGACATTTTCACCGATCCGGATGGCACTGTGATCTCAGGTGCAAAGTGTTAAAACCTGTGTCTCCTGTGATTGTTGAAAGAATCCATTGTTAGCCACTAAGAGAAGAAAAGACAAGGTGTTAAAACCTATATCTCCTGTAATTGTTGAAAGAATACATTGTCAGCCACTGGATGACCGACAGTATCAAGGGCCACTCAGGAGTCCTGAGCTTGGTGAATAAATCGAATTCCAACCTCTTAGACAGACAAGCCAAGTGCAGCCTCCCATTTTTGTATTGATCGGTCAGGACAAGAATCTGGGCTTTCCTAGGCTTAAATTTGATTAACAGGAGGGTTCTCCTGGAATGCTTAGGGGAGCAGCTGGGCTGCCTTTAGCCTTAGACTGTAGAATACTCAGGGTTTCATGGAGATGCCCGCAAGCATGCTGCTCATCTTCGAGCCCAAAGCAGTATGTTATTTAGAAAGTTTGTCCTCCTCTGTCCTCGTCCTAGTTACTGGGTATGTTCCACCCTTCCTCTTTGCCTTTGCTAAACATCTAAATGCCTAATGTTGATAGTGGCCTCCAGAGTTCTACTCCAAAGAAACCTATAGTGATAATTATTAATCACTTTAACACCGACAATAAACATCTAAGGCTGTAGCAGTAGAAGACCCTTGCTAGCACTTTCCAGGGCTTGTCAGAAAAGTAAAGCTCTAACAAGACCAAGTATGAAGCATTAGTAGTGACTTGGTGTGATGGTACATGCCTGTGATTCCAGAACTTGGAAGTCTGAAACAGGAGGATAGTAAGTTCAAGGCCACCCTGGGTTACATCTTGAAATCTAGTTACAAAATAAAATACTAGTGGGGCCTTAGCTCTGGAAGGCCATTATCACTAAGATCATTAGCAACTGGGAGGCCTGAGAACAGCAACAAAAACTGCCAGGCCCATCACAGTTCCCTTCACCTCTTCCCTGGCATTTTGTGGCAAGTGCAAACATCCACTGTAGCATCTTACTCTTCTCTTTCATTGGAATGTCAGGTTATCCTGGAGACCCTGGTGTGCCAGGCCTCCCAGGCCCTAGAGGAGATGAAGGCATCCAAGGCCAACATGGCCCTTCTGGCACCCCTGGCCTCCCATCGTTAACAGGTAAAGCAAACTAATCTGTTCTGTGCATTGATCAGTCTCTGCCGTACTCCAATCCCTAGCATCTCCCTCTGAAATTCAGGAACCAGGAACCTACCCAAGGTCAAAGGAAAGGTAGACTGGTCAGTAGGTTTTCCCATAGCTAGCCTAAAGCTAGTGTATACATAGAGTCGGCCTAAGTCAGTAGCTTTCTTTTGTGTTAAATGAGCACCACAGACAGAAAGACAATTCCAGACTACCATCGAGGCTGGAAGTGATCGAGTGGTTGGAACCCTCTCACTCTTCCCCTGGATGTGTCATTTGGTCTTCTACCTGCCAGGAGAGTTTAACAAAGAAGAACCTGGCTATGCCTGAATCCTCAAGGTGGCTGCTAAAAGCCTTCATGAGGGGTGGCTAAAAGTGTAACCTATTTGGAGTTTCTTGGCATATACAAAGCCATGTGTTCTATTCTTAGCATGAGATAAATAGAGAGACAGATGATAGATAGATAGATAGATAGATAGATAGATAGATAGATAGATAGATAGATAGATAGATAAAACTGTACCTAGACCCTCTTCTAGGCTTAACTCTAGCACAGAATGGCCCTAGGATCCTATGGGTGATACTATTCAATCAGTCTTCATAGGAGACAACATAGATTCCATTCTACAGGGCAGAGAAACAGCATGCCAGAGTCTGGGAGGCAGGGCTGGTCCTAGTATAAACACCCAGACATGTCTATTAAAGTCACTAGTTTCTAAATTCCATGGAGAGGGCCCCCTGTAAGGATATTTGTGTTTTGAAGGGAGGCCGTTCATAGGTGGTACAGCTGGGTCCAGCACTGAAGTAGAACCAATAGAGCAGTCAGCGGCTAAAAACCTAGCTTTTCCTCACAAGCTAACCACAGTTTCCTAGGCGATTAGGTAATCTATTCTCAAGGGACGTTCCTAACTGTCATGAAAGAGAGGAGCGAATGAGTTCCCAAATGCTTCCCTTGTGTTGGTCTGTCTCTACACTGCTGATCAGAATGTGCCCAAACAGTAGGGTGCTATGGTGAGCATTTTGTGTGGGCTTATCTTTCCAGGTCTTCCAGGTGCCCTAGGGCCTCGGGGATTTCCAGGCCTGAAAGGAGACCAAGGAAACCCAGGGCGCACCACCTTTGGAGATGCTGGCCTGCCTGGTAGAGTTGGTTTGCCAGGTTTACCAGGCTTACCAGGCCCATCAGGCCCACCTGGTAAGTTATTCTTTCCTTCCTTTGGTGTTGAGACCTAGGCCTGGTTCAGAAGCTTTATGATTTTGACAGGGCCCCTCCCAGAAGAAACAGTTCAGTGAGGACCTCCAACAGCAGTGGGGGCAACAATGAAGGCTCTATCCCCTCTGAGTCAGCTCACCTCTACTGGCAGTAACAATAGTGCAGTGTGTCTTGTGTCAAGAAATGGGCCGGCTGATGATGACCAAACACTAACGTCTGTATTTATCACCCTTCTGTCCTGCACGGCTCTCAGTGCCCACACCCCTACCACCTCTGCCAGGACTTTGACTTTTCAGATCCCAGGGAAGTAGAATTGGACTTATTTTCCGAGTGTCCTGAGCTCCAGTGAGGTAGGCTGAGGATCTGAGAAAGAAGCCCTGCCTTCATCCTCAAAGTGTCTGCCGAAAGCCTTCATGGGGAGGGGGCTAGAGGTGTGGCCTAGTTTGGTGGGGTTTTGGCCTGTACAAGGCAATGGGCTCTGTTCCCAGTCTAAGATAGCTGATTGAAAGACAGACAGAAATATAGATAGATGATAGATAGATAGATAGATAGATAGATAGATAGATAGATAGATAGATAGATAGATAGATGACAAAATGTGAGTATCTACACAGTGCTTATTCTGGACTCTGAGAGAGAAAGGCTGGAAGTATTATTGCCCAGCATGTTTCTTTACAGCCTAAATCCCCTGACCACTGCAGCTGGCACCTGCTTCCTCTTTGCCCAAATAAGGCTTTCTTGGCTAAAGCCTGGCACTGCTGAGTTATTGAGTTACTTTGTTCATCTCAGAATCTAGTGCAGTGTGAGACACGTAACAGTCATTCTGCTAGTACAGTGAATAGAGCCAAATGAGAGTCCTGTTGGCTCTTCCGCGGCAGGCTTGGCAGAGATCCCAGGCTCGGATTTTTTTCTCCTGCTCTGCTCTGTACGTTGACCCTCAAGAATCCAGCCTTCGAGACTGAGGTGAGTCCTTAGGTTTATACCAGCCTCCAACCTTTTGTGTTCTTTCAAATCCTGCAGGTCGCACATTTGAGACTGCACCCTTGCCTAACATAGAGTCTGGGTTCCCGGGTCTCCGAGGAGAACAAGGTCCAAAAGGACATCAGGGCCTCAAAGGAATAAAAGGTGAATTTTGTCTCTTAGATGCCTTTGTCCCCCCAAATCCCTAGAGAGAGTTTAAGGGGATTGATCAAAACAGTGGCCTTAGGAACCTGAACAGAAGTATTCTGGGTTACAGAGAGAAGGTATAGGACTCATGGAAGTGTTTTAATTGGGGCTCTAAGAGTGGAGCTGGAAGTTGAGGTCACACAGGACAAAAAAAGAGGCTTACGGGCTGCTCTTTCCACCCCTTGAGCCCACGATTCAGCATTCCAGGGTGCTAACTAGTCCAGCTAATTCACAAGGCTTTGTCCAGACACTGCTTCCCAACACCGTTAGCCTGAGGACTCTATAGGTCAAGACCTGAGGTACTGAAAAGGCCAGCTAGCTCCAGGAAAACAAGTGAGGTCTCAAGAGCTGCCTCATAAAGCGGCTCACTCAGGAGGTCTCGGATCAATCTTAAGAAATGCAAATTCACTATGCCTGTGATACTTGGGATCAGAGGTGCTTCCAATTTTGTGGCCTTTGGATTTTGAAATATATTACATAGATTCTGCCAGATAAGCATCCCTAATCTGAAGAATTCCAAATCTCCCTTGCTTAGCGTTTGTGCTCAGTTTTCAGTCATCCAAGAACTAGACCATTCTCTCAGAGTTTCCAAGATCTCAGTTTTCTAAAAGATCAGAAGAGATCCCTCAGGATCATAGGGAAATGGAGCCAAGCACATTGTGCAGACCGTGCTGTTTCCATGATACTTGTAGCTCCTTTGTATGTCTTCGGATGTGCTTTGTTGAAAATGAGCTTGGGGGCACACGCCTACGTGAGTTTGAGACCAACATGCCCTGTATGAGACCTGCCTTTGAAAAATGCACTTCGCTGAAGCGCCTGCCATCATCAGTCACACCAGTATGTGTGAACTAAATTCTAGGCCCTCGGTTGTTTTAGTGGCCATTGGTGGTTCTCAACATGAGACTCGATGGTAGCTGGACCTCTTCCAGGACTAGTAAAAATTGACGCACAAGCCCAGCTGTCTTCTGGTGGCCTTAGGCTCCTTGAGTCTCTGCAAAGCCCTTTGATTTTCCCCCAAGGGATGCTTGTCAATCATGGGTAACCACTCTTGGAAAAAGAACCTACTTCATTAGTTGTCGTCGTTCGTACTTTTCTTTGTTTACTTGTTGTCTCTTTTTCCTTCAGGAGACTCTGGGTTTTGTGCTTGTGAAGGTGGGACGCCCAACATTGGACCAAATGGGGAACCAGGCCTGCCTGGGGCACAAGGTCTCATCGGCCTCCCGGGTATTAAAGGGGCTAGAGGAGATCCAGGCTCTCGGGGTGCATCTGGCCCAGCTGGGGCTCCAGTAAGTCCTAATTAACTTTGATACAGAAAGGGGAATGGAGAATTCAAATGTTCTTCGCTTCCCATCAATCATTTTTCTAATGAAAGATAGGGGTAAAATAAATGCATGATAACAATCTCTGAAGATTTTGCTTACATTTCTGCAGTTAGCCAAATCAATTCTTGTTTCCCATTGACAAGTAACCAATCACAGTGGTAATTGGGAGCACAAGAAATTCCCTCAACAATTGAAAAATCAGAAGCATTGCTTTTGTAAGCCTAGGCTCTAATTGGAAATTGTGCTGATGAATTAGTGGAGAAAATCTTCTGCCGAGAATAAATTAACAGAAACTTTGAAAATAAGCAAAAAAGAAAACAAAACCATGGGCCTTTGTCACATGAAGCAATCTGACCAGATGGTCTCTAAAGTCGCTTTCTGCTTTAACCTACCATTGTTCCCTCCTTCCCTTGCACACAGTAACTTAGATTTGCCTGGCTGAGTGATACTGCTTAGAAACTAAGAGGAAGTCCAGTCTTCATAGATTTCAAAGTTTGGAAAAGATACAGAAAATGTGAAGTAATTATCCAAGATAGCTACATAATCACTTGCCCAGAACACTGTGAAAGAATACCCTTAATCACACACTTTAGGTCATACCGTTGCTCAGCACAAGAATTCTATGAAGCCTGCATTTCCTGATTGCTGCCTTTTATTTCTTTATCAGGGGTTATTTGGATCTAGAGGACACACAGGCCTCAAAGGAAAGAAAGGAGAACCAACCATCAGTAGAGGACCAAAACGGCCAGGAGACAAAGGTGACGCTGGTCCTCAGGGGACTCCAGGTATGGCAGGAGCTCCAGGCAAGGATGGAATACCAGGTTTACCGGGCCTCCCAGGCATTCAGGTAAGTAGATCATTCCTAACTGGTTAGCTCTATAAACCACCTTACTGGACTCAGGGGAGACTTACTGCTCATTGCATTATGGAATAAGATAGAATAGAGTCTGACTCCCCCCAACATGTTAACTCCATGCTTTAATTTTCTGTAAAATAAGATTTTTTTTCTCTATTCTCTCATTTGATAAGCACTAGGAATAATTAACCATATCAATTTCAAATGATTTGGCTTCCCAATGACTTACTCTCTCAAGTAATCCAGTCACTTTCTTTGACTACAAGGGTTGTTGGTGCCATTCTCATTTCCTACTTCTTTCCCCTAGCCTTATCTAGAACCTCTTTCAAAGTCAGACCACCCAGAGTTGGCAAGACTCATTTCCAGTCAGCAAACTCAGAGGCTGGTTGATAAACTAGAATGATGGAGAATGTTCACAAAACACAAAGCATTGCTCACTGACTACCTCGTTACTATGGTTAGAGGCCTTTTCAGATGATAAGTCTTAAAATGATCTTTCTTTCTCTTTTTCTTTTATTGTTTAGGGAGACAGTGGATCTGGCTTCCAAGGTGAAAAGGGGTCACCAGGACTTTCTGGTAAAAAGGGCCTTGATGGTCCAACTGGACCACCAGGAATTGGGCTGCCGGGGCTTCCGGGCCCCCGTGGACTTCCTGGAGATAAAGGAATAGATGGGTTACCAGGGCAACCGGGCCTCCGTGGAGCTCAAGGTGAGTCATACAATCAGATGGTTTTCGACTTGAAAAGTCAGCCTTTTGTGAAATGACCATGACTCATAAGCATGAAATGCGTCAGAAAAAGAGATCTGACTAGCTGTAATCACTCCAGTCAATCCTCAAGGGGTTTCAAGTAGGAAATGGCTCATCACTGTATTGTGGTAAGTTTGTAAGGTAGAACAATGTGGGTTTCAGCTCTTCTTAATGAAGACTCTTGTAATTGAACTGAAAATGTCATGGAGCTGCCTAGGTAGGTTATGAGCTCACAATCCATAGAAAAGTTCGGGGAGAGGATGGATGGCACTTTTGTAAATACCATCAAAGTAGTTAGCAGAAGGTTTGATAAATAGTTCTCTAAGTTGTATGGTTGTTATGGCTATAACATCAGGAGACAAAGACCTTTCCCAAATGACAGACCCTCAGATTGCTCAGGGATTCTAACCTACCCCTTATATAATACTTAACTCTCTTTCAATAACTTAGTTTTCCCACTTGAATTTCAAGGTTTATAATAGGCAATATTCCTGCTTATATAGTCTGAAGGTCCCATACTGTAACTTGTCTTTTGTGCAGTCAAAAGACCTCTTCATCACAGTTCTTGTGGTCTGTGACTTTTCCTTTTCTATGAATGGCACCACACTTCTCATAGTCATCGAAGTTTGAAAATTTAAGGTGATCTTGTTCTTGGAAATGCCTCCCATGATTACTTTGCTCTTCTTGCTGATAAGTTCTCAGTATAGCATGCCTAGCTTATCAAATGCTCAAGGGCTTTTGGAAAAGATAGACGTATGGTTGGATGGATGGATGGATAAGTGAACAAAAGACAATTTCCTATGGAGTTTTTCTTCTGTTCCTTGCTGAGTGTTTCCATTCAATTCTATTTATGCACAGTGCTGACAATTACCCTTCTCTTCATTTTTACACTGTACCATTATTACTTAAATTACTGCTTCTATTAATGGTTTTTTATTCTTTACCAACAACATTGTAAAGTCTCTAGGTACTGAAGAAGGTGAAGCTTCTTACCCTTTCAACCTGCCTAGCAGAGTACAGCATTCCTTGAGAGACCAATATTTATATACAGATGAAAAGCCCTTCCTAACAACCTTGAATGGTTAACAAATAAACATAATATATCCTGTCTTAAATGTTCATATTTTAAAATAGACTTTGCTTAATGTGATAAGCATGGAGGCACAAGCTAAAGCCTCATTCAAGATTCTTGAAACCAAGTCAGGATTTCATTTCACAAAGGTTTATGGAAGCCATGAGAAAAGTCTGTGTTTAAGTGCAGGCCTTGTACAAGCTAGGAAAGAGTTCTTCTTCCCTAATCTGTATCTTGTTAAATAATATCCATTTTCCTTTGAGAAGTTCTGATTTCAACTCTATTCCCTGGGGTTATTAGTTACGGTCATTCTATTGCTCTTCACCTGTTGCTCTCAACCCTTTTTGAAGGCAAGTAGGTTTTAAATTTGGTTACAATGCATGATACCTATAAACTTGTACACTCTCAAACCTTTTGGACATTATCAACAATCTTTTTGTTTGAAATGAGGCTGCATCAAGGAAGATACCAGTGGGATAGTTTCTATCCCAAACTAGTAAATATAGAACGTTCTCAGGAACACAGTGCTGGTAAGTCTAGTCTGGAAGGTGTTTTATGTAGAGAATGTTCTTTTGGAAGTACCTGGATTTTCAAATAAATCTTTATTAGTTTTGTGTTGGGGGTGTTTGTTTGTTTGTTTGTTTGTTTGAAACAGGATCTCTCTACATGACCTTGACTATCCTAGAACTCACTACGGTAGACCAGGCTGACCTTGAACTCACAGAGATCGGTCTGCCACTTCTTCCTACATGTTGTGATTAAAGGTATATAGCACCACACACTGCAAGTACTTCATTTAGAATACTACATTTCCTTTTATCTTCAGTAGTTAAATATAACTCACTAAATATAATATTCTTTCCAATCATTTACAAGCACCTTTATGCGTTATAGCCAGCTCTGTTGTCACCAAAATGTAAGATGGTGTTCATAAGTGTTGCCTATTCCTGCCAGAACCAGACATTTGTATCGCCAGGGAAGGGCATGCAGTCATCAGAAGCTGTTCAACTTAGTGGTATGAATTATTGCAAACTCTGGGAACACTGACAACTGATGGTCCCTACAGAGGCTCTGGCTCCAGATTTTCAATGTAATCTATCACCCAGGTTATTACTGCGAGCGGTTTCTGTGTACTTGATTATGTGTGGGTGCCAGCACTCCACTCAATGCCCATGATGAATGTGGTTGGCTAGTAGATCTGGTCTGTACACAAGACCTCCCTTAGGACGCAACAAACACGTGTCTCGGTTTCATTATTTCTTTTCCTGCCCATGATTGGTCTAGGTGATTATTGCTGCAGCAGGGAGAAAGATGGTTAAAAGACACTTAGGCATGGCGGGAGGCCAGAGCTCGCTACATCTTCAGGTTCTCAGACATGGATGTTGGCGAAACACCTTTTCTCTTTTGTTCACCTTTGCCTCTGCCACTCAGAATGCCTTAAATACTACATTGCACCCTTTTGGAGGCAGGGTAACTGTGAGACTGGGCTGCAGAGGCTGTCACTGGCCACTGATACTGCTTTAAGGGCTCCTTAGTACCTAACTGCAAGGGACCACAGGAGGAAGTGGTATGCAGTCCCTGAGAGGGGCTGATTTCCTTCACCACACGTGTTAATGCATTGGCCAGTTTCTCATCGCATTTTCTGAGCTTTCAGTGGGTTCTAACTTGCCTTGCAAGGTGCGTGTGCAAGGAGCCACTCATGTCTAGTCTCTATTATTTAGTGTCAGAATAAATGCAAATAACAGAGTCTTGAAAACTAGAGGTACTTTATATTCTAAAGATGAATTTTGGTATTTGTGGTGGAAATTCTGAACAATGTAGTCATCTGTTGCACGTATAAAGCAAAACCTGGCTAAAGCTGACTTCTGCTTTATTGCGAATGGTCGGAATTCAGGAATGTGAAGCTGAAAACATGGCAATATATAATAAAAGCAGACACCATGCAAAGTGATGTGAAGTCCTTAACTTTCCCATCATTTTAAAGCCCTCCTTTCAAAATATAGTGCAGGGTGGTCTGTGTCAGAATGGTGAGGAGGATATTGTGGAGGAACTTGCTGCCTTGATTTCTTCTGGCTTCTACCTACCTTCCTTTGTCACCAGTTTCCTTCCCTAGAATGGATGGCTGGCCTCAGTTCCGTTTTGTAAAAGCTTTTCTCTGATCTAGTTCTCACAGGTGAAAAGAATCTATAAACTCATCTGATAAATTGGGGATATGGGTGGCTTTACATTTAAACTCCACTCAGGGATACTTATATTTTATTTAGTTTGTTCTGTGATACATGATTAAGGCAATAGAAATACAACAGTAAGATACAGACACATTGAAACTGATGGGCTCTGGAGTTAGTTGGGTGGCAGAAAAGTCTCGTATGGGGTCCCTTTCATGACATCAGTTCCAGGGGATATCTTTCCCTTTCATTCAAAAGCTCTGGGCCCCAGCAGAATACAGGACTGGAAGTTCCCAGCCAGCGGGAACCATCTCACTCTGAGGTGCCTGTCAATAGCACACATTTCCACAGTGGAGAAAGCTCTGCCACCTTAGTGTCTGACATGGTGAAAGTGTGTGCCCACACATGGGAGAGGATTCATGCTTAGGGCCATCTTTATAGCTGCGGGGAATATGACCAGAAGAGCAGGAGGTCTAGAAGCCTTCCAGGACCATCACAAGACTGCCTACAGCGAAACACAAGGCGCTCAAGAACAGAAGCTCCTCTGAACATCTCTCCAGGAAGATACGAGCTGCCATTCGCTGAGCAGGCAGCAGGGGCCAGGCATGGCATCAAGCGCTTCTGTCTCTGTCTCATGGACTGCTCACAGACACTATTGGATAGGTAGCTCCCCTTCGATGTATGAGGCTCAGAGAACTCAAGTATTTTCCCATACAGGTGTGTAATAACAGAAATAAGACACCAGCTTAAATTCTGTCTGGCTCCCGAGCCCAGTATAACCAATACAATATACCGTTCAATTCCCAATGTTGACTTAAGAGTAAAACAAGTGAGTCTGTTCGTTTGTTTTATTTTTTTTCTTTAAACAAGACTTTATATTGGAGAACAGAAGCAAGTAAAAGGAGAGATGGCAGTTACTTATGTAAGCAGTCTGAATCACAGGCTTTATACACAGTTTTCAAAAATAATCCTACGCTGTACTCACAGTTTTTAGAGTTGTGGTTTTTTTGTTATTGTTTTTTAACAAATGCTACAGAGTTTTGTTGGAACCAGTGACACTGTGGTTTAAGAAAGACCTTGGAGGATTGTTTTAATGAATAGGGCAAGCTGACTTTAATTAGCATAGCAATTGTTTGTAAATGGCACTCAAGGAAATCCACAAACAGTCTGTCACAGAGAGTTTATTGAAGGTCCCCTCTGTGGTCCTACAGACTATTTGCAATATGAGTGAGCAAAGAAGAATTTCCTACAGAAAAGGCTGTGAATGCTAATCTCAGCCTTGAATACTGAAATTGACTGTCTCTGTTCCCCAAGTAGCAGAGTGTACAGTTTCTGAGAAGAAGCTGAGGAGTCTCAATTTGTCTCTCATGACCAAGGGAGTGATCTTAAGTGTTTACTTAGTTTAGAGATACACATACCTGAATAAGGATGGCCAATAAATTTTAGTGGACTCAAAATAATGAACTGCTTTAAAAGAGCCCCATGCTTTGAAGACAGCCTTCAAAAAAAAAGGCTTCAATTCCCAGCACCTACACGGAAGTTCACAGCTAACTATAACTCCAGTTCCAGAGGATCCAACACCCTCTTCTGGCCTCCACCGGGCCTCCATGGGCACCAGGCACACATGCGGTGCACAGCATACAGGGAGGCAAAACACCCAGATGCGTACAATTTTAAAAATAAATATATAATTTTTTTTTCAAAAGAAGAAGTGTAAGTGTGAACTCGAATAGCTGTGGCTTCAAATTATCCACTCTAATAATGCAGGCACCATGATCCCTTAGTGCTGGAACTTAAGTGCTAGAAAGAGATGCTAAGGGAACAGCAAGCAGACAGTTGCTGCTCATGGCTGCTCCTGCATGGGTGACTCCCTCTGCCTAGATGGCAGCTTGCCCATCAGGCAGTGGTGGTTTAATAAGTGATACTCTGGCACCTGAACACTAAGAACAGGATTGCACGCGCCGGTTGTGTCTCCCAAGAGTTTCGGAGGCCAAGCTGTGGGTTCCTAGCTTCTGAGTGGGGAGACCACGATTGTCCACTAAAAAGAATTGGAGGAAAGGAGCCTAAGGGGGGAACTCTTCTCTGTCTTGGTGAGTTCACACTTCCATGTGTTATCATTTACAGGGGTAACCTTGCCTTGTATTATTCCTGGGTCATACGGTCCATCGGGATTTCCTGGAGCTCCTGGATTCCCAGGTATGGAATGTGGCCAGAGAAAGTAAGCACTCTTTAAGGGCCTTGAATCAAAGGAAGCGGAGGATCCCTTAGTGATGAGTGTACGGCTGAGTGGCTTCTCAGTGACTGAGGACACAGTGGCTGGAGACTGTGGTGTTGAGAGGCGTGACTCAGGGTGGTCGGCCAAGAGAGGAGGATTGTTGGCTAAACATCATAAATCTAGCCTCTCCTTGCTAGTGTCCCTTTCCCCTCACTACCTGCACTTGGGTTTCAGGCTCTAAAGGAGCTCGGGGCCTCCCTGGAATTCCAGGCAAGCCTGGCACTCATGGAAGTAAAGGAGGGCCCGGAAGTCCGGGGTTAATTCATCTTCCAGGATTGCCAGGTAAGGAAAGGAGGCACCCCTTGTGTGGCTGTTGGGTTGGGATTCTTTCCACTCACCACGGGTGACAGTAAGCTAGGTCTGCTCCCTGGTGTGGCTGAGATGGTTTGAGTTTACTCGCTTCCTGGCAAAACGCAAGAGAGAGCCATAGATAGAATGAGGGCCTAACACAGCAATAAGGACCATGTCAAAAACAAAGGAGGCAACCCCTTGACTCTCAGATGAGGAAACCATACCTCAAAAAACCCACTGTGACAAAACCAGGACTCTGCAGCTGTCTGCTTACCAGTCTTATGGCAGTATTCCAGATGAACTACTTGGAGGTCAGAGAGAGTTATTCAGATCGGCCCAAAAGAAGCTGAGCTTCAGGCCTGCAGTGTACCACAGCTTCTCCGACTGTGTCCCCTAGGTCAGCACCTGCAACACCTGGGAATTTAGTCGTCATGTCAACTCTCAGCCTGTTCACAATATCCAGTGGGCAGAACCTCCAGGATAGTGTTAGCAATCTGTGTGTCATAATATGTTCTGAACTGCCATTGCTCTAGCACTCAGGGCCTCTCCTAAGCCGTCTGCTCTAGTGTGTCTTGTTGCTTCAGGTCTTTCCACTACTTTCTGCCCACTTGAGAAGAAGGAGGGCATGGCAGCTGGAGCTCAATAGCTGCAAGAGAGGCTAAACTTTGACCAGAGGGGCTCCGTATGACTTGGGCTATTAGCAACTACCGAGCCCCAGGAATAGGAGCAGGTTGCTAAGCTGTGCCAACTCCCAGCCTCCCAGAACTAGAACTGTCTTCCACTCATGTGCTGTAGTCCCTACCTCTGCACAAATCCTCCATGGGATAGAGACTGCTGATCATTATTAATATATTAGCTTTTGTATTAGAAAAAGCCGTCTCAGATCGCCATCCAAAGAAATTGCTTCTAGACATCATTGCTTTTTTTTTTTAAATCTTTGCCTCTTTACATTTAGGATTTCCTGGACCTCATGGGGAGAAGGGATTGCCTGGGTTTCCTGGGCTTCCTGGAAAAGATGGCCTGCCTGGGAAGGCTGGCAGTCCAGGTTTACCAGGTTCCAAGGGAGCCACTGGTGATATCTTTGGTGCTGAAAATGGTGCTTCCGGGGAGCAAGGACTACAGGGATTGCCAGGGGACAAAGGATTTCCTGGAGACTCTGGCCTTTCAGGGCCCATGGGTGATTCTTCTTGACCCCTTACTTAACAATGAATAGAAAGCTTTATAATAACTGCTGTCTTTGCATGAATACAAGCATGAAATGCATGGCTGAATCTGAAATAATTAATTGGGAAGCTGAAATGACATTCTATTCTGTCTCTCTGTGAGGGCGGATTTTCCTTATGTGGTTGGAGTCTATTTTCCTATCCTAGTAATTCCAGGAGTAGCTGTAACCAATAGTCATATTTTTTTCTTTTTTTTTTTGCAAAGCTGCTGACAATAGAGGACAATTCACCTGAGCTGAATCCTGGGCTAAAACTTCCATTGGAAGATGATTTGGTGGCACAGTGCCTCCCTGTGATCCAGCCTATAAACATTTGCCACCTCTTTTTTTTATTAGGTTTGACTGGGAAGTCTGGTATGCAAGGCCCCAAAGGTGAGAGGGGCAACCCTGGAACATCAGGACCACCGGGAGAGCCAGGACTCTCAGGGTCTAGTGATGCATTTGGTGTCAAGGGCACATCTGGACTCCAAGGAGCACCAGGCCTTCCTGGCATCTCAGGTAGGTCCACTGGAGGAAGAACCCCCAACTTGAGCAACTTTAGCTAGGCTTTACTTAGGCTTAGGCATCTTGGGGACTAACAGTGGCAGTGTGACATGATCAGAATCTAGGAGATTTGACTTTCCTAATCTCTCAAGTGTCAAATCCCAAGTCACCCTGGCTGTGCCAGGCAGAAGGCATTGCTATGGTTTAGCTTCTGAGTTATGACAACAAATCTCTGTCATTTCTGTCCTCCATGGCCTCCTGCCCCCTTTTGATGCTTGGGCCTGCCTCTGGCCTTTCTCTATTTTTTTTTAAAGCCACCCTCTGCTGAGTTGTGTTGTACAGTCACTGGGGCTATGGCGAGCCTGCTTTGAGCTACAAAGAAACTGAAGCTGAACTCCTCCCACCCCACAGTGGCCTGCCTGTCAGGGGAACAGACCTCTGAGGATCCATAGGCTAACAGTGGCTTTCACTCAGTACCAAGGAATTCTATACCATCACCCTCACTCTGTCTGCTAGACTAAGCGGCTGAAGCTGAGTTATTGGCAGAGCCATTAATATCCACTTTATCTCCTTTGTCCTTCTGTTTCTGGGGTCTTCCTATAAGATGCTGACATGAAGAAGAAGAAGAAAAAAAACAACTCACAAGCTCACCGACTAAGACTCCCCACTGGGGAATTATCTGATTAGCCACTCTAACATGGCCTTGCTTACAAGGCCAGGGATCCCTGAACCCTGCTAGAGCACTGGCTCCCATTGTATTCCTCTCTCCTGTTATAGAGCTCTCTTCCCAGCTTCCTATTGGAATCCTGGGGGTCACAGCTACTTGATGCTTTTCATTTCATGGAAAGCTAAGTCAGCCATTCAGTTAGGTCCTTGGGAGCCCAAATACTTCTGTCGTCATTGATTTAATCCTTTGGGTTTTTTTTTTTCTTTTAATTTCTTTGCTTTGTACCTGGACATTCCACTTTGGCAGCAGCTCAGGAGGTTAATCCCATTGACCAACTTAAAGAGTGTGGTGAAAGGCGACTCAGAGTACCCAGGAGATCAAATGGGCCTTGCGGGTCTCTACAGTACTTGGCACTAGGGGGCCTTTCAAACCTAATGCCAAGGAACTGGCTGATTTAACCGCTTGCTTGAGGGATTAAAAGGGCAACCCTGTATCCAAGACTCCCTGGGAAGTTAGAACAACAGCTCAGCTTTAGCGTCTGCTTTGCGAATTGGTTCAGGAAACTGCCACTGTAACTTGATTCGGGGGTGCAAGTGCCGGGAAACTGGAGCCCAGCTGCCACCCTGGCTTCTATTCAAAGGCTCCGGTGTAAACTACATTCATAAAAGAAGAAGTTATAGTCTCAAAGGGGTTGCTTTTCCTGCCACCACTGTGCCATGCTTGAAGCAATATGCATTTAAGTGTGGTGCGCTGGGTGGTAGGTACGGATGCTCTCACCAACGAGGCACTCAGCTAGCTGGCAGCTCTCGCTGGGTATTGTTAAAGGGCTATGGACAAAGCTCGACAAGCCAGCCAATCAGAACCAATGAGAATAAGCTAAGCAGTGGCCCAGATCTGACCAGAACCTTGCTTACTAGCTGACCTATGTTCTCTCCATTCAGGGAAGCCTGGAAAGAAGGGCCAAAGAGGAGACATAGGTCAACCTGGGTCAACCGGAAAACGAGGTCTACCCGGGATCAAAGGCCTTCCTGGTTCTCAAGGGTCAGCTGGTTTCCTGGGAAGCCCGGGTTTGCCAGGAGTCACTGGGTTGCCAGGCATCCCAGGCCAAAAGGGTAAGTGAAGTAAAATGGGAAGATTAGTGAAGTGGGCAGGGGCTCCCTAAATGGAGCATTCATTCTGAACTACCCAAAGTGTTCCCTCCTCTCTACCCAGGAGCAGAAGGTAGGCAGGATTTTCTGTAGCAAGATCTTTAAACCAGGCTAAAGGAAGACAGTCAGCTAATGTGAGTTCCTCAAACTACTTGCTGTGAGGAACAGTGGGGTGATCGACATGCCCAGCAAGGGCCAGGGCAGTAACAGCTGCATCTAGATCACTCTACATGACACCGGACCAAGGAGCCTGACAGCCCTCACTTCTTATTATCATTGCAGGGGTTAGGTGTGTGGCATCTCTCTTTTAAACCGGAGAAAATGGCTAGTCTCAGGGCAGGACACACAACTGGTTAGCACAAAGGGGCAAGGGTGTGCTTAGCTCTTTGCCTCTGTTTGTCTCCTGGACCCAGGTGAGGGTTTTTGTTTGTTTGTTTTTTGGGGTTTTTTTGGGGGGGGGGGGGTTGACACATGCTCTGAATGACGTAAAACAACCCACATTATCTGAATGGGTAATAACTAACCAGTTTGGGGAAAAAAAAAACACCTTACACTTTAGAGTTAGAGAAACCTGTGTTCAAATCTCTTCTCTGCACCTTCTTAGCTCTGTGACACTGGACAAGTAGTTAGAGCTTTCTGTGCCCCCCCCCCTTTGTCTCTTTGTATGTACTGCAGACATGATAAAGAAAGGCTTGCTTTTCAACAGGTGAAAAGGGGCCCTCTGGGCCAGCAGGATTTCCTGGCTTACCTGGCCTTCCCGGTATCCCTGGGGCTGATGGATTAAAGGGATCTTCCGGTTCATTTGGAAAGGTGGGACAACCTGGACAGGCTGGTACTCCAGGTGAAAAAGGTAAGAGGGTGTGTGTGGGGTGGGTGTATTAGACAGAAAGAGAAGCGACAGAGAGAGATTCCAAAGCAAGCACTTTGGTTTTCAAAGTGTATTTTGTTTGTCACCTTTGCCATTCGTGTGATAAATGTCAACTCTATATTGAACAAAAATTTGAACTTCTTAATTAAGTCCTTTGAAACCAAAAACCTATTCACTTCAGAGTCAACACTACATGTTATGGACTATGTTAGTCAGCTTTTGAGTACTGAAAAAAAATACCTAGCATCAAGAGCTTGTAAGATGACAGGGGCTAACTTTAGATCTTAGTTTCCGAGGGTTCCAGCTGTGGTCAGTTGATCTTGCTGCCTCTGGGCCTGCGATGGCACCATACATCATGGAGCAGAGCTTACATCATGGCAGTTGGGAAGCAAAACTGAGGAAGTGATAAGAAAGAGAGCCCCATCATCCCCTTCAAGAACCTGTACCCGCTAATTTGACTTCCCCCACTCCACCCCATGCATCAAAGGCTCTTTCACCTCCATAAGAAGTCAATGGCTGAGAATCAAGCCATTACTACCCAGATTTTTGGGGGACACTTATTCAAACCAAAATGGAGAATTTTGAGTAGGGTCTAAAGTTACTGATGACTTTGGGGTTGGAGAAAGAGAAAGCATACACAGAAATGTCAAGTTCAATGACAGGATAGGGAAGAGGACAGAAAGGCCTAAAAACTGGGCTGGGGGTGGGTAGTGTGGTAAGAAACAATATGAAACATCAAACCCAGTGTGACTTTGTGTGTAAACTGTCTCTCTCATCCTGACCACCTGATCTTCCTTCCTTCAGGAGACAGAGGGGATCCAGGGTCAGTTGGCGCAACCAGTCCAAGACCTCCAATGCTGAACCTTTGGTTCAAAGGAGAAAAAGGCTCTCGAGGTTCTGCTGGATCAATTGGATTTCCTGGGCCCAGAGGTGCTGAGGCAGGATGTTCAGGAGTAATTCTCAAGAAAGGATTTACAGCTATCCTAGGCTTCCTCCCCATGAAAAGCAAAGTTTACCCCCAAGAACGGCAATATGGGAGGCAACATGGGGTTCAAGGAGGCTACCTTCACTTTTGCTGAGTCTGTGGTACCCCAGAAAGAGACTGGTAGAAAGAGAGGCATGGATATTGAGCTGCTTGCCCAATGCTAAAGCTGGAGTGACATCAATGTCACTTCCCCACCCCACAAACTAGCTTCCCCTTCACCTGAGAATACATTTGGTATATGGCTTTGGGCACCTGCACCTAGACAAACAGATATTTTGTTGCCTCTAGCCTTTTTCTAATAGGTTTTGCTTCTTTCCCAGGTGAAAAAGGAGAGTCTGGCATCCCAGGGTTACCAGGTCCACCTGGAGCTCCTGGCCAGTCCAGTATCATCAAAGGACTCAGTGGGAGGCAAGGTGCCCCCGGATCTGTGGGAAGAAGCGGCTTACCTGGCCTGAAGGGGTCCCTGGGGATCACAGGTTTCCCAGGATTGCCAGGAAAAAGTGTAAGTTTATCCAGATTCCTGTCTCTTCACCACAAAAGAACCTTCACTGCATAGGCACAGGCCCCAGGTTCCCATCTTTCTGGTTTTAGCCTACTTCCCAACCCTTACCCTCAAGATAACCTCTGGGGTTTTGTTCCCATTACTGGCCCCTTGTAGTAAAGAGGTGGGGTAGGGGCTGTAGAGATGGCTCAGTGGTTAAACATACTTGCTGTTCTATTTGGATGGCTTACAACTTCCTATGAAGCACAGCTCTAGGGAATCCAAAGCATTCTTTGGCCTCCATGGACACCTGCACACATGGTAGCATGGTAGTGGTATTCATTCTCTTTCTCTTTCTCTCTCTCTCTCTCTCTCTCTCTCTCTCTCTCTCTCTCTCTCTCTCTGTCTCTCTCTCTCTTTCTCTCTCTCTCACTCTGTCAAACACACACACACACACACACACACACAAATTTAAAAATATAAATAAGACCGAGTAAACTAGAGAAGTTTTAACAGATGGCCTTGAATTTGAATGTCACTCATTTGCTCTGTGATCCTGTGTATCTTGCTTAATTAACTTCACTGAACTTTATTTTTTCATCCGTTAAAAATAGTAGACTAATAACAAACTTCTTTCAGACAGTATGAAGATTAAATGAGAGGAGACATGCAAAGACCTTAACATTGTGTCAAACGCGTGGAATGTTCTACATAAATAAGAGTCTGATCAAATGAATTGGGCCCAGAACACCTGTACTCCCTACAAACAAATTACTGTCTTTCAAAAGTGTTAGTTTATCTGGTAGAGAGGGTACACTTGCATGGCTCAAATAGTCTCCCAAGAAATTCTTCTAGGCGAAAAGTCCTGACAACTCACAGAGGGAGAGGGATAGAAAGAAAGTGGGAATGCATTTAGGGAGGAAGGGATCCCGGCATAAGCAGAGACTGCCATTAGGAACATCTATATCTACAGCAGTGTGCTACAAGAAGCCAGGCCAGAAGGCAGGCACAATAGTGGGGATGCCATTGAAGGTAGTGGGCCAACAAACCCAGGCCATTACTCAAGTCTCCTGTATAAAACACTAACTGGCTGCCTTTTTCCTGGGTCTATCTCCAAATACCTCAAGCTGTACTAGAACAGCTGAGAGCCACTGACATAACCACTGCCCAGATGCACTGCTTCAGAAAGCTGTCACTGTGTGCAGGTGAATATGGAAGCTACTCATCCAAATACAGATTCGCACCTGCGCACTGACAGCCTGCTACCTGGTGACGGGGCAACCTCTCCTTCCTTGTGGAAGCCTGCAGCAGAGGTCTAGCCCTGCTTAGGAAAGCGAGACTGCTGTTATTGTTTTTCCAGTTTTGAGGCAGGGTCTCACTAGGCTGGTGTGGAACTTGTGAAGTTCCTGCCTCTGTTTCCTGAGTGCCGAGATTATAGACATGTTCCCTCAGACCTGGAGGAAGATATGGTTGTGTGGCATGACTCCAGAGTTTTGGACAAAGTGTGGTAGCTGAATACCAGCAGAGCAGACTGAGCACCTCGCCTAGGGTTCATGTCCTGTTTTCTGAGACTTAATAGTTAATGCAACCATACACTGATTCACCGAGATTTTGATTCTGGTAGGCTATGAATGACATGACTAGGAGTAATCTACAGATGGAATATCCCCCCCCCCCCCCGTAAACCCTAAGTATGCATGCCTGTCCCTGGCTCAGCCCCTTCCCATCTACAGGCCTGTCCCACCTAACACAGAATATGTAATCAGCATCTCTCAGGCAATGGCTGGGGGTTGGGAGAAAGGAGAAATATGGTGAGCATCTCTGAGCTCTAGGCAAAAATAATGATTCCTCTATTGCCTTGAAGGGTTCACAGGGTCGCACTGGAACTTCTGGCCCACTGGGAGCAACTGGTATCCCAGGTTTAAAAGGTAGGGGACATTTTCTCTTTTGGTGTGTTTGCCTAGACCAACATAAGGTTTTCTACCAATCCATAACTCAGGGCTGGGCAGAGTTGTGTTTAGAGGGAAAATAAATTTGGTTTTCATTTCCCATTTGGCCAAACACCTTCCACAGTTTTTGTTTGATGGAGGAGGGTCATCTGTCTATCTGTTGCTTTCATTGGTTAATTAATAAAGAAACTGTTTGGCCTGATAGGTCAGAACATAGGTGGGTGGAGTAGACAGAACAGAATGCTGGGAGAAAGAAGCAGATTCAAGCAGACGCTATAGCTCTCCTCTCCAAGATAGACACAGGTTAAGATCCTTCCTGGTAAGCCACCACCCCATGGTGCTACACAGATTACTAAATATGGGTTAAAGCAAGATGTGGGAATTAGCCAATAAGAGGCTAAAACTAATGGGCCAGGCAGTGTTTAAAAGAATATAATTTGTGTGTTGTTATTTTGGGTGTAAAGCTAGCCATGCAGGAGCAGGGCAGGAACGCAGCCCACTGCTCCTTCTACATTTGTTCTTCAAAGACACAACAGTGCTACCTGCCAAAATCTCTTCCCAGGGTTTTCATGGCAAAAAAGTAATAAGTGTTCCTTTGGTTTTCTATTTTGACCCATCTGCTTTCAAAACAGCAGGGTAAAAGAACTTCAGGTCAGGACAACTCTTCTGCTGATGAGCACAGGCCCCAAGGCAGGAACAGTTCCCATCTTTACAAGAATCACTGTTCTATTCTGATCACAACTTGGGGCCCACTTACCATCTTCTCACACGTACTAGGCCTAGTGATGTGTTGCCAATGTTCTGTATAGGAACATCTCATGCCAGTAGCTTGCCAGAATCCTAGGTCCCTTTACCTAGTGGGCAGTTTCATCAAGAAGCTCCTCTGGCCACAATGAATCTGAACTGAGGGAGGAAAGATTGAAAAGATTATTTTGGTGAAAGAAACGAACATTTGAAAAATTATTTTTTATACCTGCAGGAGATCAAGGCCAAACACTTGGCATTTCTGGAAGCCCCGGACCCAAGGGACAGCCTGGTGAATTAGGTTTTAAAGGTAAGGCTGAGATAGTTTTGCGTATACCTCACAAGTGCTTTAGAACTGAGGACTAGAAGGAATTTTGGAGACCAGCCCCCAAGTTCTTCAGCATCCATTCAGGGGATGCTTACAGTTTTCCCAGGCAAAATGATTTGTACACTGACAAGGACCTTTAGCATGGTGTATACCTAAAACAGTTTTCAACATGACAACAGCTTCTAGAATCTTTCCCAGCACTTCTTCAATGAATCAAGTTCCCACACCATCTCAAAATGCTTTCACCTTCCTACTCAGGCTTTCTTGTGGAGGATCTCAATTCCAGCAATGGGGCCCTAATCATCCCGCGATTTTCTTGACCTTATAGGTGTTAAAGGAAAAGATGGGCTAGTTGGTGACAGAGGTTACCCAGGAAACAAAGGCGATGATGGAAAAGTTGGTATTGCTGGAGATCCTGGCCTTCCTGGGTCTCCAGGTACTATGTACTCCTTGACAACTTTCTTCTGAGAAGTTATAATCAAGACATATACACTATTCTGAATGTCTGTCTTGGACTCACATTTAGGACTTCAAGGGATTTCGGGTATGAGAGGAGACCCAGGCCTCCCAGGTTCCCCTGGCCATCTGGGGTCAATTGGCCACCCTGGACTCTCTGGCTTAATAGGACCTAAAGGTATGTGTGTCTGTGAGGAGGAAATGGGAGGGAGTGTCTTTTCCTCAACAACAGATGGCAACTATTTCATCTTAGATTGTAACAGCTAAGCTGACGCCATGCTTAGAGTGAGGTGTGACCCAAGAATTAAAGGAAAAGGAGAATGTGGAATGGGCTAGAGAGCTGGCTCACCGGTTAAGAGCACTGACTTTCTGCAGAGGACCTGAGTTTGATTCCCAGCACCCACCTGGTAGCTCACAACCAACTGTAACTCCAGTCTGCGGTGATCCAATGCCCTCTTCTAACCTCCATGGGAACCAGGCACCTGTGTAGTACACAGACATACATGCAGGCAAAAATCTCATATACATTAAATAAATAAATATTTAATTGGGGAAAAAGAATGAAGAAGAAGAAGGGTAGTGAGCAGTTATGAATGGGGATAGAAGAACGTGAAAGCTACAAAGAAAAATATTAATAAGAAATGCATATTAGTTTTCCATTACTATAGTGAACTCCTTGTGGTTGGTTATTTAGAAAGAAAATAGATTAAGGCTATAGTTTTTGAGGCAGTAATTCCAAAGAGCTATAGTGCTGTCTTTAAGGAGAACCATACCATAACTATGTCACCTCATGAGGGATACCATCATGGCAGATTTTGTGTGTGTGTGTGCATGTGTGTGTGTGTGTGTGTGAGAGAGAGAGAGAGAGAGAGAGAGAGAGAGAGAGAGAGAGAGAGAATGAATCACAATTCAATAGGAGGCCAAAGTGAAGGGTAGGGCTAGTCGTATTCTTCTGTAGCAATTCACAATTATGAGAACTCAAGGTCTATAATAACTACCTTATTCCTTTGTGGAGAGTCCCAGGGTCAAAGCCAACTTTCACTAAACCTTACTTCTTAAAGATCCCACCAGCTCTTATTATATCACAATACAGACCTTGAGGAAAACAATAAAACCATATCCAAGTGAAATGGTTAATAGTGTTAACTTGGTAAGATCTAGAAACAGCTAGGAGACAAGTTTTGGGGACACCTTTTAAGGGACAATGTAGATTAGGTTAGCCTCTGGACATGGCTGTAAGGAATGATCTAGATTTGAGTTAATGGAGGTGGTTAGATGCACCTTAACTATAGGAAGTTCCATTCCATTGGCTGGAATCCTGGACTGAATAAAATAGGTGAAAGTGAGCAGAAAACCCGCATTTATTATCATCTACTTCATGATTATGGATGCAATATAACCATTTGCCTCAAGTTCCTGCTGCCAAGTCTTATTCAGCATGATAGATGGCACCCTCAAATTGCCAGCCAAAATAAACTTTTTCTCTTTTTAAGCTGCCCGTGTCAAGTATCTGATGACAGAAATGAGCAATGTAACTACTATATGAAGCCATAGCGAAAAGTTATTGCCTAGCATGTGTTATCTTTCTTTGCTCTAAATTTCTAGAGCCAATTTCTGGGAGAAGACAGCTCAAGGTGCCGGTATTGCTACTCCTACATTCTGTTAAAAATACCCACTGGGAGTAGCTCAGTTGGTAGAGTGCCTGCCCAGTGTATTCAAAACTCTAGGTTCAATCCCCAGCACTGCGGAAACCAGAGTGGTGCCACACACCTATAATCTCTGCACTCAAGTTGTGGATGCAAGAAGATGGGAAGTCAAAGGTCATGCTCGGTTACGTAGAGAGTTACAAGCATCCTGGGATACACGAGACTGTCACTCAAACAAACAAAAACAAGACAGGTGGAAGGACCTATTGATTCGGGCTCTTGATTTCAGATGTTTTAGTTCCCAGCTATCATGCGGTTTGACTATAGCTAGACTTTGGGAAGGAAGAATATCATGCTACAGAGTGTGTTGCAGAATCAAGCTGCTCATCTCATGGTGATCAAGAAGCAGAAAGAGTCAATGCCAGAACAAAATAGATACATTCCTGCCATGCCTCCAGTTAGCTACCTCCTCCAATTAGGCCCCACTTCATGAAAGTTCTTGTCCACTCAGTAACTTAGTTAAGTTTTGAGTCACATTGAATGAATACATTTCTAAAGTTGGAATCATTGTAGTCTATTGATTTCCTAAAGGCTCTGCCTCCTTCAACACTTGGGCCTTTGGGAGACACTTTAGATCCAAACCCTAACAGCTAATTAACTGTCATATTAATCTTAAAGCTGCAGTGGTCCTTATAAGAATCATAAAAACCAAAGGTGCAAGGTGTATGCTAGAAACTGGTTATTCTTCCATAGGGTAATGAGTAATGCCTCAATAAAGATAAAGATGGCTGGAGCCATTTCTGATGTTTTCTATCCTCAGGATTCTCTGGACCTCCTGGTTTACATGGACTGAATGGACTTCCAGGTACCAAGGGTACCCATGGCACTCCAGGTAAGAAAAGCCCTGAAGGTCAAGTTTAAGGACATAAAGCTCTTCCAGATGCCTGGAAGAAGTCAGCCATGACTGTAGCATATCCCATATCCTGGTTCTCCTCACCAGTCTTCAATTGGAGGTTCTTACTATGAGGGGGAAATAGGATGTTTTGTCTTTCTGTGGGAATGAGCTTTTCTTCCAGGCCACAGGGTAGTCAACTATGACAACCTAAGGGCTCTCTCCTCTCTGAGCTCTGTCCCCTCCCTTTGCATCTCTTCCTAGGAGCCAGCATCACCGGTGTTCCTGGGCCTGCTGGCCTGCCTGGTCCCAAAGGGGAAAAGGGAATACCAGGAATCATCATCGGAGATCCAGGAAAACAAGGTTCAAGGGGAAAAAAAGGTGACCGAGGTATGTTAGCCCAAGTCAGACCTTGTAGAAACTGAATGAGGTGTTGGCAGAGGACCAGGGTTTGGTATTGATCAGGGCCACGTGGTTCACCGGGATGAATTGTGCTTGGCTGTACATCTTTGAACGTCTAAGAACCCTTATATGACTACTAAGAAAAGGATGATAGGCTATTCCTATGGCTTCCCAGTAAAGAATGCTGGGAAGCACTCTTCTAAGTGCCCTCTAATCCCCAGTTCCCCGCCCCCCAGCTCTTTCCAATGAAGCTCTGGACCTCCTTTTTCACACCTATCCAGAGCCAGCATAAATGCTGTGAAGAAACAGAATTTGTATATCTAGTGAGATCTTAACTACAATTTCCTGAGTGCTCCTTGAGGATGGAAGACACCAACTGGCAGAAGAAACCCAAGCAGAGAAGGGCCTCCAGAGGCCAGGCTCAGTCTGTACTCTATCAGGATGGGTTACTCTCTCTTTCTTTCTTTCTTTCTTTCTTTCTTTCTTTCTTTCTTTCTTTCTTTCTTTCTGTCTGTCTGTCTGTCTGTCTGTCTGTCTTTCTTTCTCTTCTTCTTCTTCTTCTTCTTCTTCTTCTTCTTCTTCTTCTTCTTCTTCTTCTTCTTCCTCTCTCTCTCTCTCTCTCTCTCTCTCTCTCTCTCTCTCTCTCTCTCTCTCTCTTGGTTTTTCAAGACAGGGTTTCCCTGTGTAGCCCTGGCTGTGCTGGATCTCCCTCTGTAGACCAGGCTGGCCTCGAATTCACAGAGACCCGCCTGCCTCTGCCTCCCAAGGGCTAGGACTAAAAGCATGCATGCACCACCACTTCCCAGCCTTCAGTTATAGTTTCATAAACCAAATTCCACCCTGATCTCAGCTCCCCACACTGCTTTCTGTGTGTCCCTCTCAGAAAGTAACAGCAAATTTCCATTCTTCAGTTTTCTCAGCCATGTTCTGGAAACCCATACTGACTCCCGCTTAAGGGAAGCAGGAAATGAATGCAGTATAGCCTCATGACTTAGAGGATGCCCGTTAGGTTCAAATCTCAGTTCTCCCTTTCACTAAGCGGTATGATCCTGAGCAATGATGTTACATGCCTTTCTGTGAAATGGATATAACAACAGAACTGTCTCACAGGGGTTTTTTTCGGAGGATTCTAGCAACAGTAGGGCAACGTGTGTCCAAGAACCTATGTCAGTGTCCTGCAGATGCCCCGAAAACCCCTGGGCACTATGCTATTACTTGCTACTTGGGAAGTGATATCTGCAGTATATTTGGGGCCTTAGATCTCACCACACTTTCCACTAGATTCACATATTAACGCATTTCCTGCTGCACTTGGAATTGGGGCAGCTTTTGTTTCTGTGTTTAATCTCTCCATTGGTCAGGACAAATTTGTCCTTCTGGGGAAGTCAGGAGTTTCTCCAGGGGAAGGGCTCAAAGCAGGGTTTGAGCCTGCAGAGCTATTGTGGCTTTTTTCCCCAGGACATAGAGAAGATGGGACTGGAGGGAAGCATATGGCATTTCTTCTTCTATTTGTAAATCTTGACTGTGAATTTCTGGTTATCAAATTATTCATTTACTTTAGCTGACATGAAATCCTAATTACAATTGCAGAAAACATCACACATCAAGATGGATATATTCTAGGAACATAATTACGAGTAGCGGCACGCCACAAAGGAATACGTTTGGTGTGCTTCTGTCTTTAGATGTTCAAAAATAAGCGAAACAACCAACATACTGTTTAGGGATACAAATATTCATGAACAAATTATGATGAAAAGGAAGGATGTGAACACAGAATTCGGGAATGGTTGTCTCTGAGAGGAGGGGGTGAAATCTGTGGGGGCTACACAGATAATTAGCGAGATGATTCCATCTTCGCTTTCCTTTAGTGTGCCAATGGAGGGCAGATGTGTTCATCATACCTGGATTATTCTTTATTGAACCAATTTGTTTAAAAAGAATAACGCATGTATTGTACCCACAGACAAAACTATCTGTCATTTGCTCATGGAAGTAAAACAGACTCAGCCCAAGAACACTCCATTCCCTGGGCTCACAGTACCTTTAGCTAAATGATTCGCAATTACACTGCTGTCTTCATACTTGCAACTGAATCCTTCGAGCCTACACTTACGTATTTAGAGTTTCTCAGGCTTTGGCTTTGTAATCAGTTAGCAAAACAGTCATCTTCCACTTGCAGCTCCTCATTTAGAACATTATAGTTTTCATAAAAAAATACATACGAGGGCTTACAAAGATGGCTCAGTGGGTAAAGGCACCTAAGTTACAAGCCTGACAAGCGCGTTTCAGCCCTGGAACCAAAGTTAAGGCTGACAGAGAGACCCAACTCCACAGAGCTGTCCTCTGAGCCACTCATGCCCTGTTGCACACCACCCTGAGCACACACAATAATGGTAACTTGTTACCAATATGAGATTTGGGCACTACTTTAGGGCAGTAGTATATTTATTTAGCATTTGATGACATCTTAGTATAACTGTAAAGTCAAAAAGCAGGTAAAGAGCAGGCAAGTCTTCACAAAACTGACATGGGGGACTCAGAATCTGTGGGCTGCTTGCGCTTATTTCATTTACATGTGGTTTTATGGTATTTTCCTTGTCGTCTCTGCATAATTTCGGCTGATATAAAATGCACATCTAAAGCTCTCTTTCCCGGAAAAAAAGCATGCACTATATCTTTCTTTTCAGATCCTTAATTAAAACGAGAAGTACTTCAGAGAGTCATCGTGACACAGTTGACAATGTACCAGTAGCAACATGTAATTTTTTTGTGCTTACTCGTGTGTTTTCCCCTTGTCCAGGACCTAAAATTAACCAAAGCCTGTTCCCTAAATCAACCTTCTCATCTCCAGTTTTCTTTGTGATTCAGTACATTAATGAGCTATTTTTAAAGACCTGCTTCGGCTAGACTACCATCTCTCTTTACAAGTTTTTACATGGACTTACCAGTTTCTTTTAAAGGTAGATATATGATAGGAAAATGAGTGCTAATATTTTTGGATTTTTCTTCTCTCACACACGCAAAGAGAATCTCAACCAACAGATTTCATCGAGCAGACACACTGAACTTTCTTAGTTGACTCTCCATTAGCCTGTGCCAATTAACACATCTGTTCCATGCGTGCTGGGCGGCAGGAACTTCCCCACATGTGTCGGTAGTTTGGATCTTTCCCCAACAACACTGCCATATGTGTATTTCACATGTATTAAATAAATATGTTGTCATCTGATGAAAGTTTTTGTTTTTTAACTTATGGTAGAAATCATTCCACAAGTCAAAAGCATGTAAAGTAGTATGGGAGTCTGAGCAGAGGATTTTGGGTTTTTTGTTTTTGTTTTTTGTTGATTTTTGTTTTTTTTTTTTTTTTTTTTTTTTTTTTCGAGACAGGGTTTCTCTGTAGCTTTGGAACCTGTCTTGGAACTAGCTCTTGTAGACCAGGCTGGCCTCGAACTCACAGAGATCCACCTGCCTCTGCCTCCCCCCCCCCCCCCCCAGTGCTGGGATTAAAGGCGTGCGCCACCACCGCCCGGCTAAGCAGAGTATTTTGTAAATGCTCTATTACATAACTATTCACTTTGACCAAAGGGGAACAGATACCTGTTACAGAGACGTGTGTTCAACAGGCTCCTAAGCGCTCATTCCACTACTATGACACCTATAAAAGATGGTTTTTTTGTTTTTGTTTTTTGGGCTTTTTGTTTTGTTTTGGATTTTTGTTTGTTTGTTTTTGGGGATTATTTTTTTTTGGTTCGTTTGCCTAGAAGTGCCAGGAGATAGCCCAGAAACCAAGGATACACAGACAAGGGGATCCATCCATAGTACTCTTGCTGCCTCCGTTCCGGATGGTCTGGGTTGGGTCATACAGTAGCCATAACTCTTTGGCAGCATCAGACAGCTGTTGGGAAAATTTGTTCGATGGACCGGTGTGTTTAATAACAACACTTGGGAAACGTAAAATCCAGCTGCTTGGCCATGCCTTCTTTTGTTTATGATTTGGAGAAAAAGCAACCTAAAATACTTCCATCACCAGTGCAATCGAGGAGCTAGAAATTTCCACAGCTCTGTTCAGATAAAATGAAGCTCCAGCTGGAAAGGAAGAGCCGTTCTTATTTACGGCTGTCTGCTCGCTGGAAACGTCGGCTGAAGAGAGAAGAGCCCTCTGCTGGTGTCCGCTGGTCTTGCAGCTACCTTAATAGCTTCCATTTTCTGAGTTCCCTCTACCCTCTCCTGAACATAAGAAGCCCACCAAGCCCCATTTTATTTATTCTTTGTAGGTTTCCCAGGTCTCCAAGGTCCTGCTGGTCCCCCTGGAGCCCCAGGCATCTCCTTGCCCTCAGTCATAGCAGGACAGCCTGGTGACCCTGGGCGGCCAGGCCTAGATGGAGAACGAGGTAAAAACAAGTAGCCCTAAATAGAACTGGCCCCCCGACTTGGATGTTTGCATATATGCTTTATATAATGCAGCCCTTTTCCTGATGCTGAGCATGTGTGGATCTGCTGGGCCGCAACTTACTCCCTTCCTCCAAGATCTGAGGGACTAGAACTGGCTGCATTTTGCTGAAGTGTTTCAGAAAGCCAGGGCATGGGGACTCCATACACAGCAAAAAAACAAAAACCCTCAACTATGAATGGCCTTTGGCCACCTAAGCACCTAGGCTTTCAACAGCTTCCCATCTTCCTACACTTCATTTCTTTTCCAATCTTATCCCTAGGCCGCCCAGGCCTTCCAGGACCTCCAGGTCCCCCTGGCCCATCCTCAGACCAAGGTGACACTGGAGAGGCTGGCTTCCCTGGAATTCCAGGCCTTCAAGGGCTCAAGGGAAAACAAGGACTTCCAGGTTTCTCTGGCCTCTCTGGAGACCTAGGGCTGAAAGGTAGGTCTGTTCCACCCACTGTAAGACCCATCAATCACCACTGCATAGTACGGTGGTCCCCAAGTACAACCCGTGGAAGGGTTTTTTGCTGTCTGGTCTCCCTCGTCACCATGTCAACACCTGACCTGTTTTCCTTTGGCCCTTGCCAGGCATGAAAGGAGAGCCTGGCCTCATGGGGACTCCTGGCAAGGTTGGGCCACCAGGAGACCCAGGATTTCCTGGGATGAAGGGGAAGGCAGGGCCAAGAGGTGAGTCTAGGCCAAGCCGGAGCTGTGGAGGGAAGGGGTGAGGCATGAGGCTGAGGTTCTTTTAGAAGCCAAGCTGTCCAGCCACACCACAAAAGCAAATGGGGATCGTGTTCCCTAACCCAGGAGGGAGTTTCTCTACTTTGGAGATGCCTCTGTCCCCAACTGCTCCTAGGACTGAAGGGCCTTATTGCTTAGCCGCCATGGGTTCTGCCACTGACACCCCCCACCCCCCCGCGCGGAGTACTTCTGCGTGGCTTCTAGACTCCTACCCTCATTTTCACAGTTCAGAAAAGCAGCCTTCTCTCTGTCCTCAATCCTACCTAGGCATTCAGCCCATCAGAAGTCCCTGAGAGCTAGATCCCCTAACAATGCCTTATACCTGCTCCCTTTACACCAGCGCTGCAGCTACCTGGAGGTCCAAGCCAGCAGCATTTCTCATGTAGCACGCCTCCTCCCAGCAACAATCATTTTCTCACATACAGTTGTCAATAAAAAACAAATCGTTCTATTCACGGCATTAAAATGAACTAACTATAACCCATAAAATCATGTGTGGCAACTCCCTTTATTGTTCATTGGCCTCTCCACTATTCTCCCAGTGACCTTCTTGTTGCCCCCTTCTCTCCTTCCTACTAGTTCCCTTCTCCCTCATTAGTCCCCTCCTCTGTTCATGTCATGCGTATGTATGTATGTCTCTCTGTATCTCACATAGCATGGTGCTCTCCATGTATCCGTTTGTTTGTAAATGGCACACTTCTCCTTTCGTTATGACCGAAGAACATCCCTTCGTGTGTATGTGCCGTATTTCCTTCGTCCATCCATCTTGGTAGTGGATGCTTAGACTGGTCCCAAACCTTGGCTATTGTGAACACTACAGGGAGAAACCTGGATGTGCAGGTATCTCAGTGGTGTGCTGCCTTGGGAGTCCTGTGGGTATATTACTGGGAACGGTGCAGCTGGATCATAGGGCACTTCTAGTTCTAGTTCTTTGAGGAGCTCCAATATTGATCTTCATGGTACCCGCACTAGTTTACATTCGCATCAATATTGTACATGTTTCCTGATGCTCTCTTGCCCTTCGCTTCTTAAATGTCTAGCTCCTTCTGATACTTCTGATGTTTCAAGTTTCAGCTTAACAGTCTCTGGTTATGAGCATCTGTTGGCGACTCTAAAGAAGACCCCTCTACCCATACCACCCCATGTTCCCTCCTATTGTATCTGCGCCATTTACTTCCTTCACAGTCCTTAAAATTTGCATGATGAAAAATTGTACATTGTTCATCTTCATCACCGAGCCACAATCTGTCCCTCACTGCTCTAATCTCATACCTCCCAGGACCTTGGCAGATAGTCAACACCTAAGAAATACCTGCTTAATGAAGCAGTGAACAAGTTATTCTACTTGTAAAGTAACTGACTTGGGTGGGGCTCTTAGGCTGGGATGCCAACTGCACCTTTGGGTTGGATACATCTCTACAGCATCTTTGGTGCTGCATTATGACCAATGTATAAGTTCTATTCCTATTGCTCTATTCCTGAGCCAAGTCTCAGTCTACTCTATTTCTAGCAGACATTTCCTAAGTGCCTTCCACCTAGTAGATTCCATACTGAGCTATGGGGAGTCAACCTGGGTATGACTTGGTCCCTACCTTGCCCACAGGGACCCACCAAGCCACTAAGAAGGGTCATCAAGGGTTATGTGGTCTGTCCTGGAGGCAGACAGAGGGAGGGACATCCGTGCCCCTCCTCTGCTCCCAGCCTGACACCACTATTTCCCCACCTGCCTTCAGGCTTTCCAGGCCCCCAGGGTGTGCCAGGACACACACCAATTTCCGAAGCTATTCAGGCTCCTCCAGGACTTTTGGGTCTTCCAGGCATTGACGGTATCCCTGGCCTCACAGGAGACCCTGGGCCTCAAGGCTCTGTGGGTCCACAAGGTAAGAATGACACTAGAAAAGGGGGACTCCTGGGGAGCTGGAAAGCCTTGGTTAGGAAGCTGAAGATACTGTGGCTTGACCTAGTTCCGTTTTCTTTTAAGATTTATTTATTTAATGTGTCCAGTGTTCTTCCTGCATATGTACCTGCAGGCCAGAAGAGGGCATCAGATGTCATTACAGATGGCTGTGAGCCACCATGTGGTTGCTGGGAATTGAACTCAGGACCTCTGGAAGAACAGCCAGTGCTCTTAACCTCTGAGACATCTCTCTAGGCCCTGACCCAGTTATGAGAAGGCACCTTCATCAAGCTTTCTCTTGCTACTTCACAAGACTCTCACACTCCATGCCAGGGAAGGGAAAATCCAGAAAGCCAATGGGGCGTGTTTATACTGGTCTTTGAAAAGTTCCTGCACCCTGATAAGCTTCTCTGCTGATGCAGCAATCCAAATCAGACCAAATCAAATGGAATTAGAAAAAGCCCAGGATTAATGGATAAAATGCTCCTGGATGATTTTCCAGCCTCTCAGAGAGGAGCCAGGGAAGAGAGATTGAAAAACTACAGTCTGTTTTTTGAGGGGCACTTTAAATACCTCGTGGAAGTGGTCTTGAGCATCTCTGGGGGAGGGGTCATCATTTGGTGAGCTTTCTGAGATGTGGCAGGGTTTGGGGAGAAAGAGGGAGGGTGTTTGGGGTGGAACTTCCATCAGAACATTCCAGACTCTTTGGGTATATGGATGCCAGGGACTGAGGCGAAGTTTCCAGTAGAACAGTCTTCAGAGAACATGGGAGTCTCCCCTGGATAGCTTGCCATCTCTAATGTTCTGTTCGGAGATAGAGATGTGTTGAGTGACAAAGGAGAAAGCACAGGGCTGGGGACAGGAGACCTGGCTTCTAAGTCCTAGCTTTGCTCCAGCGGGGGCAAGTTATCTCTCTCTCTTGCACTTCACATGAGTCTTAGGACAAAGACTCTAGACTTCCGCATTGATCCTCCCCCTGCCTTGTGCATTTTTCTCTCCTACAGGTTCTAAAGGTCTACCTGGCATTCCTGGCAAGGATGGACCCAGTGGGCTTCCAGGCTCACCTGGAATCCTAGGTGATCCTGGTCTCCCTGGACTACAAGGACCTCCGGGATTTGAAGGTCAGGTGAACAAAACTTAGAGACCTAGTCAATCCTGTGGTGAATTTGCCATTGTGAGGGGGCTCGCAGGCTGAGTTCTTGTCTACCTTGATGTTCTATTGCTGTGCAGAGATGCCATGACCAAGGCAACGGTTACAAAAGAAAGCATTTAACTGGGGGCTTGCTTACTGTTTCAGAGGGTTAGTTCATTATAGTCATGGACTGAGCATGGTAGCGGGAGGGTAAGAACTGGAGCAGCAGCTGAGAGCTATACCCTGATCTGAGAGAGAGAGAGAGAGAGAGAGAGAGAGAGAGAGAGAGAGAGAGAGAGAGAGAGAGAGAGAGAGAGAGAGAAACCCTCGGCTGGGATTAAGCTTTTGAAACCCACCCTTAGAGACACACTTCCTTCATAGGAGAAAGAGAGAGAGAGAGGAGGGAGGGAGAGAAACCCTCAGCTGGGTTTAAGCTTTTGAAACTCACCCTCAGAGACAGACTTTCTGCAACCAGGCCACACCTCCTTATCTTCCTCAAATAGTACCACTCCCTGGTGACTAGGCAGTCAACTGTATAAGCCTATGGGGGCCATTTTTTTATCCGGAGCACCGCATTGCCCTTCTACCCTGCACAGTGCACAGCCTCCAGTCTATGAAAGGAAGTCCTACAGCACTCAGGAAGGCAACAAACTCTTGCAAATCTTCGTCAAATCCTTGCCTGGGTTCTCCAGCTTTGTTACGGACCAGTGTCTTGCTGCATAGCCCTGTTTGCCCTCAAACTCATTATGTAACTCAGGCTCACTTCAAACTCCTGATCTTCCTGGCTTTGCTTTTCATGTCTTTTTGTCTTCCTCTGACATGGATGGAGAGGTAGATCAAGTTGGAGATGAGTTCTGTCTGCCCATTGTTTTACTACTTATCTTTTCTACCAAGGACAAACGATTTGTTGTCCTTGGTAGAGAATACTTCCGAGGCTCAGTAGCAAAACATTGCAGTTCATGGCCAAGAGAGGGGAATGAAGCTTTATCCTTCTAAAGCTAATGTTATTTATAATGCTTCTGATTCGGCAGCTAGTTATGTCCTGGGAGAGACTTCAAGGCTGTTCAGGAGAAGGTTTCCACTAGACTCACTCTTAGAATCCAAGGCCAAGTGGCTAGAAAGGGACAATGGTGTACTCTTAATAACGGGAACTGTGTATCTGGACACACGTGAGTTGGTGTCCTAGCTTGCTGATCTTGTACCTATGGCAGCTCAGGGCTCAGTTTCCCAATCTGAAGAGTGGACGGATAATAGTGCCAGCTCCTGGGAACACCAGGATCATGTGGCTCGGTACATATATATGATGTGCCTTATACAATGTTTAGGACCAAGAGTGGCTAGGGTCACTGTCATCTGTGCCATACTTACTTGTATGTTCTTTTCTTCTCAGGTGCTCCAGGGCAGCAGGGTCCCTTTGGGAGACCTGGAATGCCAGGGCACAGTGTGCAAGTGGGCTACACACTGGTCAAACACAGTCAGTCAGAACAGGTGCCGCTATGCCCCATAGGGATGAGCCGGCTGTGGGTGGGTTACAGCTTACTGTTCGTGGAGGGGCAGGAGAAAGCCCATAACCAGGACCTGGGTAAGTACTGGCTCTGACATACAGTCCTTGTTACCTGTCCCTGCAAGAACTGACCTCTTATGTTTCCCAGCCCTTTAGACCTGTGGTTGTGAAGTCAGCCACAAGCACCAGCTCTGGGGTCAAAAGGAATTTGACTCAAAGTCCTACCACTTCAAAGCTACATACCCTAGCTAAATTATCCAACCTCTCCAAGCTTTTATCCTCCCTTAATGGGGCTGAACTATTTCTAGTACGTGTCACATAGAGTGGTGTAAGGAATTCATGAATCAAATAATGTAAAATGTATTTAAGCCTCCATTAAGTATCAGTGATTAGTTATAACAATAGTAGCGTGCCCCGCAGAGCAGCAGTGATTAGGTGATTACTCCGGGATTAATTGCATTAGCAGCAGGTGGGCTAACTCTTAAGTGTGAATTCCATCTATTAAATATTGGTTTGACAAAGCAAATTAATTAGAGAGTGATTATTCACTTTATCAAGAGATTCTCGTCATTATTCAACTCCCCTGGTATATTTATGAAATGATTTGATCCTCAGGCTCCAGTACAGACCGGAGTCACCCAACTGTAGGAGAGAGCTGTCATGCTCTGGGAAAGCATTTAGGTGGAAAGTCACATCGTCAGCTACTCGGGCCTTGTGCCCCTGCCCTTTGGCCACCACTTAGCCGATCCTTGCCCATCTTCTCTTCCCAGGGTTTGCTGGCTCCTGCCTGCCCCGATTCAGCACCATGCCATTCATCTATTGCAACATCAATGAAGTGTGCCACTATGCCAGACGCAATGATAAGTCCTACTGGCTCTCCACGACTGCCCCCATTCCCATGATGCCTGTGGGTCAGAGCCAGATTCCCCAGTACATCAGCCGCTGCTCTGTTTGTGAGGCACCCTCGCAAGCCATTGCTGTGCACAGCCAAGACATCACCATCCCACAGTGCCCTTTGGGCTGGCGCAGCCTCTGGATCGGTTACTCCTTCCTCATGGTAAGGCCTTGAACCATTCTGTCCCCGAGTGAAGACAGAGGTAGATGGTGGGAGAGAAGCGCTCAGGGCAGGCTTTCATGGATCTTAGGCTCCAGGTACACTTAGAATTCAACATAAAGAGAGATGAAGATGGGAATTCCAACCCCTTGTGGTTGTGGGGGAAGGAGAGCAATTTAAACCTGGTGTTCTGGACTGAGAACATGGATGAGTCGCAAGCCAAGGCCTTACTCTGTGTGTTCTTCCATTTTGTCACTATCAAAGGAAGAATATAACACATATAATCTGCACTTGTCACTAAGCCAAAGTTTGATTCCAGAACCAACCTGCACATTAAATAAATAACTATAATTTAATAAAAATTGTCAAATTACACATATTTGTGGAACACGGGAGTCAAGGAAGGCAAATCTCACATAGCTGGGAAGCCTGTGTGATAGGAACAGATGGGAAAACACTGGGTGAAAGGTGATCACTGGCTACGCAGCATGGTTAGGAGGGTACAAAGGAGCCAGGAGCAGGCGACTCATCCCACAGCTCCCTCAGGGGGGATGGCCAGTACCTGCTCCCAAAGCCTAGGTTCAACATGCCGCCTAGAAGCTGAGTGATTTCAGGGTCCAGACTTCTGAGACGCAGCACATATGCAGTCCTTTAAGAACAGGACGTGGGGCTCATCCACTCTGAGTTCTGGCATCGCCCCCACGGTCCCCTCCCTTCTGTTTCAGCACACTGCTGCCGGGGCTGAGGGCGGAGGCCAGTCCCTCGTCTCCCCTGGCTCCTGCCTTGAGGACTTCCGGGCCACTCCTTTCATTGAGTGCAGCGGTGCCCGTGGCACCTGCCACTACTTTGCCAACAAGTATAGTTTCTGGCTAACCGCAGTGGAGGAGAGACGGCAGTTCTGGGAAGAGCCTGTTTCGGAAACACTGAAAACCGGGCAGCTCCACACCAGGGTGAGCCGCTGCCAGGTGTGCATGAAACACCTGTAGGGTGTTGTCTGTCATACGGCCCCTGCCCTCCCTACCCCCTCACAACAGTCACCTCACAAATCTGGGCTGTCTGAGAAAGGAAGGCCTGAACCCATTTGCCTGTCAAATTGTACATCAGAGTCTCATTTGGACTGGACTACTGGACACTGGGCATCCCAACCCTCAGGCCCAACAGATGAGCCCACTGTGCTAGGATTCGCAGCTCTATGTTCATCAATCTGCTGCTAATGTTCCATTTGGACATGTGTGTGATTATCCATGGTTACCTCAGAAAGATGTGCTGGACCGCCATTTTCAAAGACTGCTAGAGTTCTCACTGCCTTGACCAGGAAGCTCTTTATCACAGCTAAGTTATTTCTTTATGATGAGATGTCACCACACATTATTTGACTTAAACTAGAACTCAGGCTTTCCACCCTAAAAGTATGGCTCTGGCTGAACATTACGGACAGCTCAGGTCTGCCTAGGGCTAGCCCTGCCTACTTAAGGCAGCCTGCTGTATCTAGGCAGGCAGTAGAATTGAGATGAGGAGCCAGCCAGAACTGAGCTGTGATTCCTTTTAGAGTTTGTTAATTCCATGCCCTGTCTTGACTAGGAAAAGCTGAAATACCAGCATTTGGTCCTAGACAAACCACTGCCTCCTGACTGGATCTCTCCACAGCCAAAGAGATGGACAACTTGATCTGGTCCAAAGTAGAACAAAGGATGCAGTAAACGTGACCAAGTTCTCAGTAGGAAATGAGAACCACTTCTCTTTCTTCTTGGCTTAGGGCAGAGGGATGAATAGATATGGAACTGTCAGTTTTGCTTTTAACTCCAGGAACAAAAAGGTAAATCTCATGTCCCCATTTCTCAGAAATCCCTTATTACTCCAAATGCCACCCAGATCTATGCAGGGTGGCAAACTGAGGCTGCAGTGAGTTGGCTCCTTGCATTCTGAGGCTGTTCAAGACTTTCCAATGAAAATGGCCGGCCATCCAACTACTCTTTCACAGGTAGCCTTTTAAACTATTTGCAAGTTTTTTTTCCCCAAAATCACATAAAAATCCAGCACACACCACTGTTAGCAGACCCAAGGCACAGTCTGAGTTGCCCATGAGGTATACTTTGCCCATACTACCTGCTGTTTGAAGTGATCTATTTTAATTAGCAGTTGCCTAGAACACACTCAGTTCCGTGGACACGAAGCACTCCCTTCCGGGTGATTGCACTTCTTTGGGTACTATATAAACTGTGCCCACACAAGCAAAGCATAACTAGTATAATCTGAGCTGTTGTCATTATCACCTCCTACATAAGTAAAGGATGGTGTTAGCTTTGTACATAGCAAATAAAATTAATGAAATGTGAATGTTTGACTTTGAGACTCTTTTAAAATCTACTCTCACTCAACTTTATAAGCAAACATTGAAACAGGGAAAATTGGAAGATGATTAAGTCAAAGGGCAGAAAGTTTCTCCTGGTTAACAGGCCCACAACATACTTTACAATAAGCACACACGCGCTTCTATCTTTATCACATGCTAGAGTTCAAGAAGGGACTTTCTATCCTTCAGTGGCCTAAAAATCATTTACAGATAAATTAAAAGTAGGGAAATACTGAAGTCCAAGAAATGAAATCTTGCTGCATGTTGGTGGAGCATGCCTTTAATCCCAGCACTCGGGAGGCAGAGACAGGCGGATCTCTGTGAGCTCGAGGCCAGCCTGGTCTACAAGAGCTAGTTCCGGGACAGCCAGGGCTTCTACACAGAAAAAGCCTGGCTCTAAAAAAAGCAAGGAAAAAATAAATAATGAAAACGAAACGAAATCTTGTGACTGGAGAGACTGCTCAGCAGTGAAGAGTACCTACTGCACAATCTGAGGACTGGAGACAGGATCACAACACCCACATAAAAAAGCCAGGAGTTCTGTGTGTGTCTGAAGCCCAGCTTCAAGGGAAGTAGAGACAGGAAGGTGACTGGACCTTACTTTCGTCCATCCTAGCCAAGAAAATGTGAGCTTCAGGTTCAGGGAGAGATCCTCTCTGAAAAGACTACGGGGAGAATGATAGAAGAGGATACCCGAGGCCCCCCTCCTCAAGCCTCCATCTGCTCGCCGAGCTGTGCACACACACACAGGTGCATATGCTCACACAGGCACATATACACAAATAGATACAGAAAAACTAAATCTAAACTAGATGTCTGCAATATGCGTATCTTACAAGTGCATATAAGTTAAACATGTGTGTGTGTTTACATACGCATAAAGCAATCCTGGGGAAGGATAAACAAGAATATCCCAGCAGTTTTCAGGGAAGGAAACTGACCTGTGGGAGGGAGAGATTTCAGTGAATACCATTTTGCATCTTTTGAATTTTTAACCTATAGAATACATAAGATACTGGCAAAAAGAAAAAGGAAGGAAAAGGAAAAAAGGGAAAGAAAAAGATGGAACCTAAGGAAATAAATGGGTTGGTCAGTGCTAGTTTCAAGACACCAGATGCTGGCCTCCTGTGGAACTCTTTAAAGGATGAAGATGAAATGCAGACCCATGTGAAACTGAAAGGGGCAACGGAAGGAAGACAGAGAGATGCTGTGGAGAACAGCATCCTTCACAACACATGTTCAACACAATAATCTCATGTGTCTGTGCTTCAAAACTTAAAAAGCTGTTGGTCCTCAATGACTTGGACATGTATTTAATGGACAGATTAAATGTCACCATATGAATAATTCTTTCTAAATATAGTTATCATTCAAAACAATATAATTCAAACAATTTATTCCATCCTTCAAACAAAAATGAACACTAAGTGAGCGACTGGTAAGGCCATAGCCAGCCCTCCACTTCCTTTTGTAAATCAAGTTTTATTAGATTACAGCCATGCTTAGTCACATGCATATTGTCTAAGGCTGTTTTTACAGCACAGAATAGTTACGACAAAGGCCACATGCCCTACAAAGCCTAAAATATTATCTATCTACTCCTTTAAAGAAAAAGTTTGCTCACCTCTGATTCAAGTAATCATGGTTTGACTTAAGGATATGGTGACATCAAACAAAAGCATCAGAAAGGCTGGCAACTGTGGCCTACTGAATAGGTTCTTCCAAACTGGAAGGCAATTAAGAGGTATACATTTGACATCTTTTCTTTGACAAATATTTTGGTAAAAATTATAATTACATGAAGTACACATTCAAATAATTTAACAAGAGTATTTCTCCCTGGTTTACTTATTTTATTATTTGAGCAAGAAAACAGGCTTCTTCTTAGTACTTATCCCCAAAGAGGTCACACCTGAAAGGATGAAGAAGAACAGTATAACCATCTTTCATCTGCTGGTGCTTGCAGTAAGATGGAAGCCACTGTCTGTCTTCCAAATGCTCCCATTCCAGCTGCTGAAGACTTGCTGTCCCCATGTAAGACAAGCTGGAAGCAACGGATTACAAATCTTTCTTCTAGACGCCATGACTTTTTCTTTTCAGAGAAGTGTTGTTGCCACTGATTTTTTTTTATTTCTGAAAAATCATAATTGGCTCAGTCATAATTGGTATTGAGTTTGTATGCTGTTGGCATATCAGGCACTTGTTGACCAAAAAAGTTTTATGTATCAAGTTCTTGTGGAGTCAGATGAAAGGCAGAAGACCTTCACATTGAGTTCTCGCTATCTTACACACTCAGAATCTCAAAATCTTCCTCCAGGTCAAAGTCCTCCAGGTGCTCAGTAGAGTCTATGAATTCTGTTGGAACACAAAGATGAGAAAGTAGAAACACTTGACACCTGGGCTGATGTTCTCAATCAAGATACTACCCAGCCACTGCTGCTTTGCCTATCTGAATCAGTTTGATAAGGCGAGGTTTGTCTGGAGGAAATGTACAATAGGACTACTATAAAGAATTAGACATTTTCTGTAAGACATGAAACAACCAGGCCTGTTTATACAGAGCTGCTCACGGTGGTCTGATTAAGGCTCACTATGGCACCTCTTTGTCTTTCTGCCATTTTATTTATTTGTTGAGACCAGGTCTTGGGATGTAGCTCAAGCTGCCCTGGAACTTACGATCCTCCAGCCTCATCATTCTGAGTGTTTGTAGGCACACAACTACCAACCCAAACCTCAAGGTACTTTCTGAGTTCCCAGGTCTGGGATTCACTATTATAAAAACAAATTCTAGTCATCTTGAGATTGCAATGACAAATCCTTTACAGCGTGTTGTGTTCTTTTGGTTAGCAGTCTTTCAAATGAACAAACATCAGCTTCTTCAAAGATTAAAAGAATCAGGCTAGACAAGTAGAAATTTCACTTTTTCATCAGCAGTATGAGCCATAATTGCTTTTATCTCAGCAGACAGTTGCAACATATGGGTCTGCTGGCTGAGAGCTTACAGAAACAGCTTACCTGCACCTGTGGTTGTCACTTCCGGCTTGGCTGGAGGTACAAAGGGAGGCCAATGTGATGGATGCTTCTGAACTAATTCAAACATCCTCAAATTCTCCTTTAGAATTTCCTGGGTAGACAAAGGAACAGCTGTAAATGTCTGTTTACTTGCCAGTTCAAGAGCCTGAACCCTGAGAGTAGTCCAGTAGCTGGCAGGTGGGACCCAGCAAACATATTCATCCTCCACTTGCATCATCTGAAGACCTCAATGAAGGCATCGATGCTGGATCCGGTTGACAAGGCCAGAAGGACACTGGAGCAGACAGCTAATGGAGCCCAGTGTGAACTGATCCAGTCACGGGGCTCAGGGAATTCACTAGGTATACAGGTTCACCCAAATGTAGGGGGGAGATAATCAAAAAAGTCATTTAATCAAAACAAAATATGCCCCAAGAGAATTCTGGTACACAACTGCATGCCTTCGGATCTAGTCCAAATTCGTCTTGGTTTAAATGATACAGTCATCATGAAATTGTCATTCTGGCTTTAAGCACGAATATAGCATTGATACATTCTGAAATGGAAACGCTTCCTTTAGAGAAATAATCTTTGGAGCTGAACACTTTGCTCAGTGGTTAGGAGCACTTTCTACTCTTCCAGAAGAACCAAATTTAGCACTGAGCACCCACAATGGGCAGGTTACAACCCGTACCTAAGGCTCCAGAGGATCCAGTGCCCTCTTCTGGGCTCCACTGGCACCTGCGTACACAGGGCAAACTTACACAGACAGGTAAGTAAACGTAATAAGCATGGATCTTTAAAGAATAACTCTTGAATGCATGTGTGGGGGCATATTCCTCAGTGGAAGCCACTGGTAAGTTATTCTTATTCAAGTACTTCAGGCAACTCTAAGTAAATATAATGGCTACAAACAACAACAACAAAAAAAAAGACGTGAAGGCAGAAGGGGAACTTGTTGAGAAGAAAGAGTTTGATGCGAAGGGTAAGAGAGGATAATGGCAGAGAATGTGAACAAAGTACATTGGGTATGTGTTTATATATAAAACACATTACATGTCTTCTTTGCGAATAATATTTACATAGCTACAGCAATAAGACCGCTTGATTTTCCCATTAGAAAGGAATACTAATTCTCTTGCGCTGGGGATATAGCTCTGTGACAGAGCACTTTCGGACATGGGTTCAGTCCTCAGAACTGCAGCAATAGTGATAACAAACCATATTTTTCTTGAACTGGGCATAGTGGCGCATATCTATAATCTAAGTATATCAGAAGTTGAAGGAGAAGTATCACAAGCTTAAGGCCAGCCTAGGCTTCATACTGAGTTCCAGGCTAGCCTGGGCAATGCACAATAACTTCTCTCAAATAAATAAATTCTTGTAAAATCTCCATTTCGTTTCACTAAGCTATTTATTATCTGAGGTCACAGATTCAGTTAGGGACATCAGTGTTAGTCATTTGTTCACTGTGAAGAAAAAGATTCCCTCCATTTGTATACAGCACGCTGGGATCCTGCAATTCTTTGGTTTTGGAAGACAGAAATTCATGTCTGGTACCCCAGCAGACACTTCAAAAAATATTTTCTATGATCTCCCTAAGTTCATTCAGTGAACACATATCAATATATAACATCTCATTCGTATGTGTTAGAGACTGGCAACGAGGGAAACAGAGATTGGTGAGTTAATACAATAATTCTCTTCTACACAATATGCCAAAAGGAATCACTCATCATGGACTTCTGCAAATTCTGATCCCTTTCAGTGGCCACATGCCTGTATCTTAAATAAATAACCCAGTTAGTGGAAGAAAATGTCCTCCAAACCACAATGGTATATACTGCATTATAAATGAATCACTAAACACCTAGAAGCATGTCAGTCTGTTTAACCATCTCAATGTTACAAACACGAAAATGAAATTTTGAAATTTATGCCCTGGCAATGCTGAAGC